TCAAAGAAACCTCTGTCAGTACTGTTTGTCTGCTTCGACATTTAATAATTAAGGGCTTAACGCGCTAATCTTATAAATACCGTTTAGTTTGAGATAGTAACACCTGTAGGATCCGTGGCGCAATGGTAGCGCGTCTGACTCCAGATCAGAAGGTTGCGTGTTCGATTCACGTCGGGTTCAAAATCCCGATTCTATGGTCCCTTTTTGAATTTTCAATTTTTGTTCAAAATCTCCATTCTCATACTACTAAATCCATTCAAGTTTTGACATACTAATTTTCAAAATGTATTTTTGGTTCTCCATCTCCCATGCATACGTAGCAAGTAAAGATTATAAAGAAAGAAATGGAGCTTTAATTTGTCTGTACAAGGACTAAACTCCAATAATGGAAGTGTGCGGTTAAGCTGCTCCTCATGAACTAATATTCGTCGTTAATGGATAGGATTATTATCTTAAGTACGAACAAATCAGGCGTAATCTAGTTGTCTACCTATGCAATGTAGACTCATGGTGACTTGATATGCGTAAAAAACAGAAAATTATGAGATGAATTACAAAAGTCAATGGTATATACAGGGGGGAATGGATAGTGGAAGAACATAATATAATAATATAAGAGGGAAACCCAAGTCAAAATTGATAATATCTTTAGCTTTGATCAAACCCCTAATTATGAAGAAGAAAGATTTGCGAGATTAAACATGAGAGTAATTGATGGTTCAGTCAAATAATTAAGTAAAAATACAATTGATAGACCCAACGGTACAACGAAGGTAGTTTTTTGCGACTAAAAGAGAGGTAACCAAAGCAAAAAAAAAAAAAAACTCGTAAAATTTGTTTTCCATAATTGTTTTGTTGCTTTTGTCAATCTATTAATTAATTCGGGTCATTTGGTTTCTCCGATTGTTAAATTGATATATATTATGATTAATACATATATTGTTGAATTTGATGAATTTGTATATATGATTGTGTTTTCAATAATTAATAAGGAAAATCACTTCTAATACTTCTTCATTTTAATGAAAAATATAATTTTAACGATTAAAATTGGGGGAAAATAGACAATTATCAACGAACAATCTAACAATCTCAATTAAAAATTGAGACCGTACAATTCATTCATTTTGAATTCGGTAGTTTATGGCACCACAAGTAAATAATACACGTATTGTATGTGTAGAAAATTGAAAAATGATGAGTTGTAAACAATACAAATATTACAACAATCTCACTCAAACAACCACAAAAATAATACAAAATATTAGTAATGAATAAGTCTCGTATTAAGTTCATATATATTCCCTATTTATTTGCTCCTTTTGATTAGTAATTGTTTGAAATTCTAATAGGAATGAAATCAGCATGAATCATCCTGAAAATCCAAAATTTGGCTACAGTTCTAACAAGTAGGGGTGGCTATACGGTCCGGTCCGGTTAAATTGGCCCAAATTGATCCGGTCCAGTCCGGTCTTTTTGAAGATATAAGGACCGAAGATTGGATTGGATACAGTCCGGTCTTGATCCGGTCCGGTTTTGATCCGGTCCGGTCCCAATTCGGTCTTGATTTTACATTGAGATTGTGGGATTTGAGTGGCCTAAGGCCTTAAAGGGTGAGGAGTTGGTTAAGTTTTGTACTAAGTGCAAAGGTTTGTGACCGTTTATGCAAATTACCCTTAAGTTTTGGGTGTTGAGCTCTCTTATCCGGTCTTTATCCGGTTTTTTACCTCAAATCTAAGCCCAAAGATTGGATTGGATTGTTTACTATCCGGTCCCGGTCCGGTCTCGGTCCGGGTTATACGGTCCGGTTTCCGATTTTTAATCCGGTCCCGGTCCAAATAGCCACCCCTACTAACAAGGGTTTCTAAAAGCAACAAAACATTGTTCAGAAGCATATATTTCCTTATCCAAAATAGATACTTCCTAGATAATTCGATTTACCTTCAATTATGGGAATTAAATAAACGAATATAAACAAAAATCAGACGTTATTAATCCACATAAGTACAAGGTTTGGTACTCTTAATTCGTCCCTTCTGTATCTTGATCTAGCTAGGGCATATCTTTTTAAAATATTATTGACTTATTGATGATGAAGTTTCGTTGAACTGCTGATGGGGGCCTAAATCTCTAACACTTGTAAGTCAAATAATTATGATTTTAATAATACCATCAAGAAATTCTCCTGCCTTCCTTCTGGCTGGCTGTTAATCAATTAATTAACGGCTATGTTAAGACTAAACTATTCATGCATGGGGCCAATTACATATATAAAATGGCCACTAAACTTTAAACTCATTTACTAATCAGTAGCTAAACTTTGATTTTTCATAAATTCGACATTCTAAGGTCCAAATCATTAACACAACAATTACTCTTATCAATATTTGCAAAAAAAATTTCCTAGATTATTCAGATAGAGGGCCAATTTTATATCTTTTTGCTCGATCCGACTTTAATAACCTCTATTCCTTACAAATATCATAATTTCTTTATCTCCTTACTTGACAACTCATTAGATGGTCTATGCAACATTTTTATTTGTTAGTTTTTGTCTATTAATCTGTAAAAATTAGGCAAAAAATATCGATGATGATGAATATATTGATGAGTGCTACTCATTAGTTATTCTAAAAAAAATAGTTATTCTAAACTTCGGTGAAAAATCACCAAGAAATTCAGGGATGAAGTTATATAATATGAACCATCCAAAACTTAGTGGCTGATTTATCGATGACCTCAAAGTTTAGCGACTCTTCTTGTAACTGAGCCCTAGATTATCACAGAGATATGACCTATCCAGTTAGAATTTGGACTTAAGTGTCACGTTTTTACTTTATTTAAGTTGGGTTGTTTAAGATATAATTAATTGATTAATTAAGTAATGATGCAATCTTCACCTAATATTTTTGTAAACTACCGATGGTGATGAAAGCAGTAGTAAGTAGACTCAACCCCATAAGTCAAAATTCCACAACGCGTAAATATGGCGTTTAAGTCATGGGTGTGTGTCTGATCGGACTTAATTAATTGCTACCGGTTTAATTCTCTAATCCGAGAAATTAAGAATGATAATATTATTGACTTTAGGTTAAATTGGGGTCAGTGAAATAATAAGGCTATTAGGGTAGGGTTGACCCCTTTCAAGTATGAGTATGACATGTAACTATGTAAGTCGTGGCAGACCCATGATTCTTTCGTTGGTTTACCAGACGAAAAAAAAATAGTTAATAGATATAAAATTTTAATTCATAAAATTAACAATTTTATTATATTTTACAGTGAATCACAACGAATTTTCATATTCTGAAAGGTTTGTAAAATAAATTAGCCGCTTTTTACGAATCAAATCATTTCGAATGTACACACTTAAACCATCATTCATCAAGTGGTCATTCAACCGATTCCAAAAGTCAGGAAAAAAAACTGCATTAAAAGAAATAAGCAGATGGAGATTTTTTTACATGTGAAGTGATAAACCCCTGATCATAAGATAAATCATTCTCATGAATATAAATCAAATCCCCTAACAACACAATTATAAGAGTTGAGAACCTGCCCCTTTCTACACCTTCATGGTTCCTTTTCAACACCCCCCCCCCCACCCCCCCCAAAAAAAACTATTAGCTTGTCAGTCCAACAGCTGTGATTAATCAACTAGGGTGTGCAACGGGTTGGTCAGTATATGATCGAACCGGAACAAATCGATGTTTGAATTGGACATATTGGAACAAATTGATGTTTGAACTGGACATATCGATCGCATATTATGTGATCTGGTCTTTGATCTCATGAATTTTATTAATACTGAAGAAAAACAGAGCAAATTGACATTTGAACCAAACTAAAAAAAACCAAATTAGATCGAATACATTATTGATCCGATTCTTAATTTTAACATATCTTTCATCTTTAAACTGTGATTCAAACCTACACCATACCAGAGCGTTCCACACCCCAAGGCCCAACCCTTGTCGAAATTTCAGTAATCCAACAAGATGACCAAACGAAATCATCCTTTATCCCATCCATCTTATTTTGTTACACCTTCCACATCTCGTATATGTTTAGTCCATTAATATATGGGCTTGGGTAGAAAGAGATGGACAGTTTTCTCGTTTCTTTGCCGCTTTCCAACCTGATAAAAAGCCTGCACTAGTGGGCCTAAAATTCACCAAAAGCTATACTTGTGGCTAAAGCCAATGGCATACTAAATGGCCGATCACTAAACTCTACAGTCCAAACAAATCGAGCGTTGTTTTCCTCCAAAAGATTTGAGGGTTGTTTGCTTCAAGAATTTTATAACGAGAGGGGTTTGTTATGGATTTGCTAATTAAAAACCTTAGAATTTATTAGAGATTTTGGGCATTATGGATTTGAGGAAATCTTTTGTTTGTTGAGCTATTTTTATCATGGATTTGATGGTTTTCCAACTTGTCTCCAAATCCCAGGATATGAGGTGGGATTTACAAATCCGTGGGGCCCACGGATTTGGAGCCCCAAATCAGTGGACCCCACGAATTTGGTACCCTCCATTTTGGCTCAACAAACAATGCCTTTTGGACAAATCCTTCATGTGTTGGATTTGAGAACCAAATTCCACGTCCAAATCGTTGAAGCAAACGACCCCTGAGACAATCAAGCACTTCGGAACATCCTAATAAAAGTTTTGAACAACGTTAGCATATAATGTTTTTTTTTCTTAGAGACGTTTTAGCATATAATGGTTAATCTTTCAAATCCTCGTAAATATTTTGTTTAGATTATCCAGCTTCATGCATCATTTATTATACTAATTGAGATTAACAATTAACTCGGATCTAATTCAAATTGAACTCATTGTTCGATCCAATTTCAACTTTTATTACTTGGAACCATTATAATTTCTACAGAGTGAGATGATATCTTACCAGATAGCGTATCCACATATCTACCTCGAATCTTTCTTTGCTCCTAGCTGGGATTAACAGAATATATATTCCATATATCTCTAATGATGCAACCATAACAAATTAACAACAAGCATCCACATGGAATTATCAAAAACTGAAAACACTGAAAGACATTGGTCATCAAACCATAAACACCTAAGAGCAAACCCTGTCTATGAATCAAACCAAACAGGATAATAACAGTAGATTATATTTTACCATCATAATGATCCACCCACTAAACACCAGCTAATCGTCATCGACAAGAACATAAACCTTGCTCTTAACAGAGTCCCATAGCTCCGCCAGCTTCTGCATCCTCGTCTCATACTCTTCCTTTGCCGACGACGCGCCGCTCAACGTGTCGCTATCCAACCACTTCCCGGCTTCTTCAAGTGCATCCTCCACCTTCCTCTTGTCGCCTTCATCCCAATAGATCTTCGTCTTGTCACGCGCCGCCCCTTCCACGTTGTAGATGTACCTCTCCAGCCGGTTCCGCGCGTCCACGCGCTCCTTCACCTTCCGGTCGTCCTTGGCCATCTGCTCCGCCTCCACCACCATCTTCTCGACCTCTTCCGCCGTCAGGTTGCCTTTGTAGTTCTCCAGAACTAGGGTTTCGGAGTTCTTCGACGCCGCGTTGTTTTTCGCGGTGACGGTAAGTATTCCGTCCACGTCGACGTCATATGTTAGCTCCGCCGTGGAAACACCGCTGCAAAATTGGAACACCGTTTACTCATTTCACACCGCAAGCATCAAACTCAAAAATCACAATGTCGCGTGCGAAGATCATAGTAACAATATGTGCATGGCGGGTTGAGAGAGTGGATTTGGCTAAACCATCCCGGTTCCCATTTTCAGATATCCAACTCACATCCGTCATATACCATGTGAGACGGTTTGCAATCTCATTCGTCATAGTCATAGTCATACCTGTAGTTTTCGGATACTTGTAGGAAATACCCGTTCAATATTATGCAATATTAATGTACAAAAGATTCAACATGTAGCTCTTAAATCATAACACTAAACGAAAATATTAAATCTTTGAAATCAATTAAGGATATAAACATTCTCAATACCAATTTAAAACATCCGATCATAACAATATCCATTAATCCGTAAGATAAAGTACATACTATCGGAAAATGTTCATGTCTGACTCCGACACATCTACTAACCAATAAATAACTAAAGAGTGAAGCGCTAATTGAGGAAAATAAATTAGTCTTTGGTTTGGATGCCTACTAATTTACATTTCAATTTTTCTTTTTCGAATTATTGTTCCTGTCATTGAGAGATTAGAATATGATGCCTATATTTTTTATACATGAAGAAATAATCTTAGCAGGTTGGTATATTGAATATGTGTTTGGAACGAAAAATGTTAAAATCAAACCTACTCCATTCCCATAAAAAAAAAAATTACGAGTTCAACCCATACTCAATCAAACATGAGGATTTCTCCTCATTGCGAATTTGATTGCCGGTCCCTAAACGCGAATGCAAAAGTAATGTTATAAAGTTACCGTTTAGCCGGTGGAATGTCCGGTAGAATAAAGCGTCCAAGTTCAAGGCAATCCTGCTTCCTTACTCTTTCACCTTGAAGTACCTGCAATGGTTGTTATCTTCTTCAGATATTACACGATGATTAACGATCATATGCAACGTAATCCAACGGCAATTAAGAGATGAAAAATCTTTTTATCCCAGAAGAAACCTTGATGGAGAAATTGGTCTGCCAGTCAACGACGGTGGCAACAATCCTCGACACCTTTGTAGGGATGGGAGTGTTTCTCGGAACCATTACACTCATCACATCACCGACGGCGGTGTACCCCAAGCTCAACGGCGTCACGTCGAACAAAGTCATCTCCGTGGCGGCGTCGTTTCGGCACCTCATGTTGGCCGCCAAAACGGCGGCGCCACAAGCCACGGCCTCGTCAGGGTTCACGCCCTGGCTCGGCTCCTTCCCGTCGAACATCTCCTTCAGCATCTCCCTCACCTTCGGGATCCTCGTGCTCCCTCCCACCAGTACGATCTCGTCGACCTCGCTCTTCTCGAGTCGTGCGTCTTTCAGCGTCTTCTTCACGATCTCGATCGTCCTTCTGAACAGGGCCAAGTTCAGCTCCTCGAACTTGGCCCTGGTCAGCACCTCCGAGAAGTCGATTCCCCTGAACAGGGAATCGATCTCGACCCTCGCCTGGGTCTGACTGCTCAGGAGCCTCTTCGCTCTCTCGCATTCCACGCGCAGCCTCCCTAGAGCCCTGCTGTCTTCACCGATATCGTCCACGTCAGCAACGGAGCCACCTCCTGCTACTGGTTCAACCTGGCGATGTTAAAAAAAAAAAAACAATATCATGGTTTCGTGAGTAGTATAATTCTAAAAGAATCAAATCTTTTGTCATGTTAGGTGACAAAACACCTAATTCGCTCATTTTTTTCATTTATTCACCCAATATTTGCGTTATTCACGTAAAAGTGTTGATTATTCACGCAACTAATACTATTAGGTCACGCAACGTGATGTTTATTCATGCATATTGTTGTTTATTCACGCCGTTGTAAAATAAAATTTTAAACTATGAAATATATGGAAATGTATGTCATTTTGAAACGTTTCAGAATATGAAAACAAAGTCGCGTTATTATCCGTGGGACCCACCTACCTTGTGGTACTTTCTCTTGACAAGCTTGATGAAGAACTCCACCACCTTCTGGTCAAAGTCGCCGCCGCCGAGGTGCGTGTCGCCGCCGGTCGCCAGCACGCGGAACTCGCGGCCCTCGATCTCCAGCACGCTGACGTCGAACGTCCCGCCGCCGAGGTCGTACACCAGGACCTTCCTCTTCCTCCCCTCCTCGCCCTCGCCCCGCCTCTTCCGCTTCCGATCGTTGAAACCGTACGCTATGGCGGCCGCCGTGGGCTCGTTGACGATCCGGACCACGTTCAGGCCCGCGATCCGGCCCGCGTCCTTCGTGGCCTGCCTCTGCGCGTCGTTGAAGTAGGCCGGGACCGTCACGACGGCGTCGTTTACCTCCGTACCGAGGTAGGTCTCCGCGGTCTCCTTCATTTTGCGCAGGATCATCGCGCTGACTTCCTCGGGAGTCAACGGTTTGACTCCTTCGATCGCCACGTAGGGTTTCCCGCCGTTTTCGACGACGGGGTAGGGGAGGTACTTGAGATCGGTCTGGACGTCGGCGTCGTGGAATTTTTTCCCGATGAGGCGCTTGGCGTCGAAGATGGTGCGCCGGGGGTTGAGGCCGGCCTGGTTCTTGGCGGCGTCGCCGATGAGCCGTCCGGCGGCGGCGGTGAAGGCGACGCAGGAAGGGGTGGTCCGGTTGCCTTGGTCGTTCGGGATGATCTCGGCGGCGCCGTTTCGCACGACGGCGACGCAGGAGTAGGTGGTCCCGAGGTCGATTCCGATCACTTCGCCGGTGATGGTTTTGGGCTCCGTCTTGATGGGTTTGTTTGGCCGCGGAGTCGTGGTTGCGGCGGCGGTGGTTTGATCCTCCGCCTTGATGGGTTTGTTTTGCGCCGCCATCGTCACGGGATTAGTGATTTTCTTCTCCGGCGGCGGCGGCGTAATATTTTTTACGGGGTAGGACTTAGGAGAGAATTGCAGAAAGGGAGAGAGGACAAGGAGGTGCGGTGGTTTCGGGTTTCGTCAGATATTAATTCCTTCTTTTGCCCTATCGGGCGAGATACGCCTTTCTATATTTAATTTATTTTGTAGTTCTCTAACTATATCATAATTTCCAGAAATTTTCGTTCGTTAAATCATAATTATTCTCGATAAAATCTTCAGTGTGAGATGATTTCGTCTATCCACCTAGTGATAAGAGAGAAGAAAATGGGGGAAAGTAAACCGATTAACACTTATTTTTCTTTCCCAATATTAGATTGTAATTAACCTTTTTTCATATTGTTATCGTCTAGAACTAATTTTTTTTTTTTACTATTGTATGTTATAGAATAATAAATTAATTCTATATTTTGTTCTCGTGTAATTACCATAATAATGTAAATTCTTGGTAATGAATGGCAACGGACAGGTAGTTAAACCCACTTACACTTAGTGAATCAAACCCACTTTAACCGGCGCCTAACCCGCCTAACCCGGGTGGGAATATTCTGTTATTGGTGGGATAGACGAAATTTATTATTGGGAGATGGTGCTTCGATTAGTGGGAGAGTTAACTCTTATCAATTTATTATTGCCTGTAATTAACAAATTTTGGTTCACGAGGGAGTGGCTTTCCATTTTCCAAGTATCTGGGGTACCCACTTTGATTGCCCGCTCTCCAAAATGGCGAAATTTCGGTATTTAGAAGAGAAACTAGCTTATTACCCGGCCCGTTGGCCGGATTACTGTATGTTACCCACTTGTGGAATAGGAGAGAAAGCAAGTGAGAGTGAAGGGATTGGGATTGGGATTTCACTTGATTAGGACCGACCCACTAATCCGATTCTTCCCGACCCGCCCTAACCTAAAGGGTCAAAAAGAGTTAATAAGAAAATACGAACGGAGAGGATTATTCATATATCTTGACTCTTCAGAAGTTGGTCAAACAGGATCAAGGTTGGGTGAGGGCAATTTTTAGCGTTAAGCAGAGTTCTGGGTTGAATAACTTTACTTAGGCCTAGAAATTGGTGCTGATGCAGACTGCAGTTTTTATTATACCATCATCAATCATCATTGAATTAGTCCTGGGCATCCCTCCCCGTTGTCGGTCTGAATTCTAATGATGGCTTCATTCCTTGCACCAGCCATATCAGCGAGTTGTCATCTCGAGTATGATTTGCCTATGTACAAATGATACAATTAGAGTATGAAACTTAATTCAAAGAAAAGGAAAAGAGAATTCTATCACATGCCAATAAATACACACATAATAGTTGAAGCTAAGTGAAAGTCATTACTCGCACATCAATTCTCAAAAATTACAGACTAAACAATGGCTAGAATGGCACTGAAACTACCAAGAATCATGGACGAAACAACTTGTCAAATTAAATAATCCTTATACTGAAACTACCTTCTAACTTGAAATAAGACATGATCACAGTTCATAGCACTCTTATCACTATGAATTGGTTGCAGCTCGTCCTTATCACTGCCTCCCAAGCTCAATTCAAACAGAATAGAGACCGTTATGTAAGATAACCATATCCTTACTGATCATAATTCATTTCTTCACTCCATTTTTGTCAGAGAAAAGAGTTATCCCCCTCTCCTGCATTTCCCTTTCCCCCTCTCCTTCCCCTCTTCTTCACAAACCGATCCCTAAAACAGCAACAACAACACAAAAATAGCCTTCGCCTATGCCATCTCCATCTACTGAACGCGTTGGTGGCAAGACAGGACTGCAGAAGCAAAATTTTCTAAAATCAAACTAACTTTTTTGAAGGAGACTCAACCACCAAAAAAGAGTAAAGCAACAATGCTAATAGTTCAGATGGTTGGTTTTGATGTTATACGTTGCTTTTGTTATGGTCTCCAGTATATCAACTGCAACAAAGATGTTTCCTCCAATCATCTTTAATGCGCGATTTAGAAGTAAGTCCTCTTGTTTGTGTCAAACGGAAACATTCATGGGTTCTTAACTCCCCTGTTAGTGTAAATGCTGCAGCAGCAGCAAAGAAGTTTGACAACACAGCAAGCACCCAGGCAAAATGATACAATGCAGTAGGTGATATGTGTCTCGAAGGTTTTGAGTTACTAAAGTTCATGTTAAAAATAAACATGAATTAAAATGGATGATTCTATTAAGCAAACATCCACTCTAATCATACAAAGATCAGATATCCAATTCACAAACAATTAAGCCATAAAAAATCATCACACATCCACCACCTTTGATTGCCTAAATTTGGTTTTTCGCAAAGTTATGGACTCTTAAGGGTAACATTCATGGGTAGTCTGTTTCATAACTCTAGAGAGCACAGTAAGCAGCCACCAGCCAGACACAGTGCGGTAGGCGAATATGATTCTCAATTCACAATTTCTCACCACCGGAAGTAAGAACGTACCATAATAAGCGTAGCGTTCATGGGTGGTCTGTTTCATAGCACTACTACACAATTTGTTAAAAAAGAAAGAAAGGTAATTAGCATCACGGAGGAACAACTTTTACAGGCCAACAACGACAACATGATGCAACCACCAGAACTGGTATCACAACTCATAGGGAAAATCAAAAGATTTACTCTCAAATTAAGTAGTTACAACATCGAGCAATTGTCAAGCACATACACCATCACAAAAGTCACGGAACCTGATTCACAAAGCATTCAAACATTTGAGGACATTTCTGCAAAGGTACAACTTATATGTCTTTTTTCCAAGCCATTTCCATCAACATGCCAATAAATTTGCAATGCATAAAACAAACGGGCCAAAACTTGAAATTCAACCTGTTTGACCGACCCATGCCAAATTCTAATTATTCTTTACTTTTAAACTTTCTATTTGAAAAAAAAATAGTGAAAGAAAAGAGACGACTACAATTCGCCATTTGCATATCACTTATTCGAGAATAAAACCATAGAAATTCAAAAGGAACTGAAAATGTTTAGGGATCGTTTTAATGTTTAGAATAACCAAATAGATCTTTATGTTTAGTTTTTTACTAACAAATACCAAACGATTCCCTATAAAACACACTATAATTTGATCAATATGATGTCAAATAATTATAAAATATATATTTGAAATGATAAAAATTGGAATAATTGGGTTGGTCGAGGTTGAACCATTGAATAACTTTAAAATACATTATATTTTAGCCACTATGATATAAAATAATAGCATAATATATATTATGCCAGAGAAAATAGCTTGTTTTAGAATGGCAAACCAATGATGTTCATTTGTTTTACTTGATGGCCAAACCCCATGTAGGTCAGGCCCATTCAACTCTTTTATTTTATGGTTAGCGGTTAGCCCATTAGACTCCATGCATTAGTTTATTGTTAAATTTTTTATTTTTAACAATAAAAAGGAGTATTATTTTTGCCTTTTCATATATATTTTATCACCACGGAGAAATAAAAGGGTATAAAGAAAAAACTTGACACTCCTAGACCCGTTTAAATCCGCATGTGTACGGTAAGTTGGCCCGTTCCACAGAGGAAAGAGAAAAAATTGGTACTCCCTATTCTACCCTTCCTACAAACGCTCCTGGAGCAGGGAATTTGAAATGGGGCAAGAGTTTTTTCCACCCTGCTATTATATGTTTTTAATTTAAAAAGTTATAACAAAGATACTTATTGTGATTGGTTGTGATCCTTGTCTTTCTTTAAAATGGTCATGGTTCGAATCCTAGTATGTATCTTTTTAATGAATAAAAAAAAGTAATTGTGAAGACCAAAATGTCCTTCCTATTTTCACTCTCGTTGCAGGAAATTTGAAATGGAGCTCCCGTTTTTCACTTCGGTGTATTATAGTATGTGTAGATTGCTGGCAGGTCTCCTGGGGTGGAAGCAAAGGACATTGTCCTGGCCGGCAAAGGAGACTTTAATTAAGTCAATAGCTTTGGCCTTGCCTCTGCATGTTATGTCGTGTTTCCGGTTGCCCCTCTCTCTTTGTCGTCTTTTGGATAGACATGTGGCCCGGTTCTAGTGGGGAGCTGAGGAGGGCCAACCCAAGATTCGGTGTGTGTCCTGGCGTCACCTTTGCAGGAGTAAGCATGATGGGGGTTTGGGATTTCGCCGGTTTGAGCATTTTAACCAAGCTCTCTTAGCTAAGATTGGCTGGCGTATTCTCAACGAACCTCAATCCCTCCTGGCTAAGGTGTATAAAGGGAAGTACTTTCCTCAATGAACTTTTCTGGCTACTACAGCTCGTTCACGCCCTTCTTGGGGATGGCAGAGTATCATATTTGGGCGCCAGTTATTGGAGGCAGGTTTAATATGGCAGATCGGCAATGGCCTTTCGGCCTCCCTTATCCACTCTAATTGGATCCCTGGGCTTCAGCTGGATCCCCCTTGCTATAGTCCCCGGGTCCTGCCAGATGGGGGGATCCCTTGGTGGCGGAGGTAATTTGGCAAGGGGAAGGGCGTTGGGCGGAGGATAAGCTTAGTTAATGGTTTGACCCATCTACCTGTTGAGCCATTAAGGCTATCCCACTTACGCGGCAGAATGTGGATGATAAACTGATTTGGCATAACACACCTGATGTGGTGTTCTCGGTTAAGACGGCCTATCATTTGCCAGTTGAGCTAGACAGGAGGAGGGGTGGGTGGCGGGCCTCGGTTAGTTGGATGGATAGGCCAAGCTGGATCCGGTTGTGGGAGGCTAAGATTCCTCCTAAGCTGAAAGTCTTTGTCTGACAAATTCTTCATCGTGCTCTGCCAACCACCGAGGCTCTCATTGAAAAGAAGGTTCATGTGGTACCCCGGTGTCCGGTTTGTTGGGATGGTCCCTAGACTATGGAGCACATGTTTCTATACTGTCCGGTCGCGCGGGCTCTCTGGGACTACTCGGGATTGGAATATTTAGGGGAGGGTTTGCCTCGGCACACGTTTCCGTTGTTTCTTAAGCGGATGCTCGCCCTTGTCCATCACCAGTCGCTGTTTATGGCTGTGGTTGCCATCCTTTGGCGGATCTGACGATCGCGGAACTGGGTTGTCTTTGAAGGCAAACAGTTTGGGATCCCGGCTTTAATGCGTCAATTTCACCAGCAGGACGAGGAATGGGAGGGTCTGCCAGTTGACTAGGCCCTGAGAATATCCTGCCCGGTGTTCCAACCAGAGACCCAAGTGGTTGATTCTCGTCTGGTTTGTATGTGGGATTGGGCCACTAGGCGGGGGTCACATTCGGCTGGTGGGATGGTTCTTTTTGATCCGGGGTGGACGCTCCTTCGAGCTAAAGGTGTGCAATTTGCGCAAATTGAGGAGCCACTGGTAGTGGAGTTGCTTGCGCTTCGGGAGGCTATCATCTGGTGTTTAGAGTGTGGCTTGTCCGAAGTTAGGTTCGGGGGTGATGCAAAGGTCAATATTGACAAGATTAATCAAGCCAACACGAGCGACAGTCACTTGGGGGCAGTCCTGGACGAGATTTGTCAGTATTTTCGTGCCCATCCGGGGTTTAGTGTGCGGTTTGTAGGTCGGGAGAATAATAGGGTAGCTCATTCGGTAGCTAGAAAAGCCATCTCTTTGTACCCGACTGTAAATCGTTTCTTTGATTTCAGGGCCTGACTGCTATCCAGGATGTAACTATCTTTTTGATTGGATTAATATATGATATCTTTTGAAAAAAAAATATGTTTATTTAATAAATTATTTTATTTTGATGGTATATATAAACTAATTAATTATTCTAAGTTGACCATGTATATATAATATATATATTGATGAGATATGATGGATTTAAGTGTTTGAATTTTCACTATATTTTGCCATCAAGTAGGAACTATTTTGGTGTAGTTATTAGTTATCTCCTATAAAAAATTACTAAATGTTTTACATGAATGAATAATAGAATGAATTTTTTTCTATATATATCCGGGCCAATTTGCGCCAAACCGGGTTAAAGCGATTGGATCATTAACTCTCAACCGGGCTAACGGGCTAAACCAGGTTGGCAAGTAAAGTCCGGACGAGTATCTTGATATCTAAAATCATAAATATACTTAAATAATTGAGAAATTATGATTCTAAAACTTTATTTTAGCTAAAATACGAGATAATAAAATTAAAAATTAAAATAAAGTGATTAAAATTTAATATAGTTTAAAAAAAATGAATTTGAGAATGAAATGAGTCAGGTTGAGAAGAACACTCAAATATGTTTCGTTCTATCTACGATGTGGGTATTACTCGTCGCAAACCAAATCAAATGAGTAAGATAAAATGGATCAAGTCTAAATTTTCATACAAAATTCTTGAAAGGTGTACCGAAAGAGTTCTAAAAAATACCTAAATACAAGTTCATAGTGAATAATTTTAGCATAAATTCACAAATTATCTAGATAATTAACTCCCTTTCAAATGCCAACTAAAATTTATTATATGTTCCTATAAAAAAATGTTATTATATGTTCGAAACTTAACTTATAATAACTTGTTTTATATAGGAAGATATAATGTTCGAAACCGGATTTGAAATGAAAAGTCTAGAGACGAACAAAGACTTGCTCTAGTGATAATGTCACTAGTTTTAAACATGAAAATCACAGATTCAATCTATTAAATAATAAACCTATATCACTTTTATCTATAAAAAATTAAAGTCTAGAGGCTATAGACTTATTCATTATCAACTCATATAGTAAATATTTTTTTTATACATGTGGGCTTGGACAGATTGAGATAAGCAGATATCTTAACATAATGGGCTTAAAAAGCCACTAAACATTTGGGCTCTCTTAACTTTACAGTCCAGCTGCTCATCAACCCAAAAAGCGACCCATACGGCTACGGACACTTCCGCCGCCCCAAATGACACGGCGGAGCAGCTCTCTCTGGTTTTCCGCAGACGGCGAACTTCCGTCCACTAGCAAAATAGTAAAAAAGAAATCTCATCTCCTGAAAACTAAATAGTAATACCTTTTATCTTCTTCTTCTTCACAGTCTCGCTATTTTCATACCATTCCTTCGCGCTTCCAATGGCGGCTTTTACTCTCTCGTCTTCGCTCACTCCCAAAACCCTAACCCGTTCCCTGTCTCACCCCAAACCGTCATTGCCGCCTTCCTCCTCCCTTTCCGTACCTCAATCATGGAGCTGCCGGAATTGGAGCTCCGTCCGCTCGCAGCCGCGGCATTCATTTGCTCGCGCCGCCCTGGACTCCGATTATTCGTCGCGGAGGAGCAGCAGCGGCAGCGAGCAGAGGGAGACGATAATGTTGCCCGGTTGTGACTACAACCACTGGCTGATTGTGATGGAGTTCCCCAAAGATCCGGCGCCGAGTAGAGAGCAGATGATCGATACTTATCTCAATACTCTCGCTACCGTCCTTGGCAGGTCGGGGTTTCCTCGTTAGTTTTTTTCGTTTCAATCTTAATCTGAAATGTTCCCCGCCGTTTGAGCTGGTGTAAATTTAGGGATTTTGTAGCTTGATTAGGTAGAAACTGGATTGAACCGTTGGCTTAGTAGTAGTGAACTGTTTTATCCATGTGAGTCTGTGAAGGGATGGTTGGATATGCATACTTGGGAATCAGTGAGCAACCCGAGTAATTCGAGTTATTATGACAAATTGGTTCCCAAATATGTGCTATACAAATTATAGTCTTTGATGGTCTGAAAGGTCGCGTCTTTGAACCTCGACAACCTAATATTAACTCGAGTCATTGAAATGAACCAGATTCTCGGACCTCAATATGGTATTGGAGCACTTAATGGTTTGAAATGTCGTGTCTTTGACTTACCAATATGTTCTTGAAACTTAATGCGGTGTTAGATCCTTGTATAGCCTCAAAGGTTCTGTCTTTGAATCCGATGTAGTCCCAGTATCATGCTTAGTTCAAGCACAGCTCTGAGCTATTAGAAGTACTGGCATTGTTGGTGAAGTCTGAACTGTCACTGATTGCATTTGGTTTCTGCATTGGAACTCAGCATGGAAGAGGCAAAGAAGAATATGTATGCTTTCAGTACGACGACCTACACCGGGTTTCAGTGCACGGTGGATGAAGCTACCTCCGAGAAATTCAAGGGTGAGTAAGAGTAGCACCAATTTTGAACTCTACTTGCCTTTTCTGCCTTGTTTGTTTAGTTAGATACCTATCTTGGGAGTTTTAAGCTGTTGCAGGCTTGCCAGGAGTGCTGTGGGTGCTGCCTGACTCCTATATAGATGTTAAGAACAAAGACTATGGAGGTGCTCACTTGCTTTACTCTGCTTGATCCGTCTATGATGCTGATTTATTTATGTCATCCATTCATTGATGGCTCTATATTCTTTTTGGTATTATCGTTGCAACGTTGTGTAGGGGACAAGTATGTGAATGGGGAGATCATACCGTGCACTTACCCTACTTATCAACCGAAGCAGCGAAAGAGTTCCAAATACGAGAGTAAAAGGTACGAGAGACGAAGAGATGGTCCGCCTGCTAATCAAAGAAGACCATCACAACCACAGGCTGCAAGCTCGCCTGAGCCATCCTCCTCTGCATAATTCTAGCATAGACTGTACGTACCTTATTACCCTTGTGCTGTTCATCATTGTTCGTTACTGCACTTGGGCTGTTCATCATTTTTCATGCCAAATTTTCTATTGGTTTGTCAATTTCCTCTGCTTCCTTGCGTAGATGGTTAGTAGCTTGAATCGAAAGAGTGGAGTTAATATATATCGACATGGCTCTTTGTTGCAGGTCATCCTTGAGCTTTTCAATGGTGTTCTCTTCTGTGATTGATGTTCCTTGTCGTGGAGCAAATTGTGATTTTGGGTTCATTCCTCTTTTGAGCTGGGACTTCCCTCCAGAGCAGATCTTGTATGCATTGTAGGATCAGATAGGTAAGTTCTGAGTCTATTGTTTGGACAATGTGGCCTCTCATTACTTACGGAGAAAGGGAATGTGATGGGATTACATGCCATAGGAACTCGAAACTGTAATATAGACTCTGGATTGTGAATTTTGATCTGTTTCCATGTCCAGAGATTTACGGCCGGTGGCCAAAGAAGTTGAGCAAATCAAATCTTCATTTGGATCGCCTTCGGACATACTGAATATAATTCAATTTGCTTCTCAAGTTCAAGACCCTTCTACTATGGTCTTATTTTCCCATTTCTGTTGATAATGATATTAGCCCTATGTTGATTCGATTCAATCTGATTTCGGACCAGACTGGACCAGGTTCAACATTGATCGTCTTTGCTTTGCATAACATGGTTTCTCTCTCAACCATGTTGCCTCCCGGTTACACTCTAAAGCCAAGAGTCGTGAGTCAGGTAACCTTATGGCGTCATCGTATTGTAGGACCTTGCTACACATGTCCTTCTAAAGGGACAACACACAAACGTGAGAAATGCAAAAACTCTGCACATGCTTGATGCTTCCTTCCTTCCCATCAACCACAGTCAATTTCAACAATCATTGAACCTCCGTTCGGTAAAAAAGGAAGGGGTTTTGTGTAATCCGCCGTCGATTGTGTTTCCTTTCCCTTGTTTCAGATAAGGTTTGTAAGGTGTAGATTCAATGCCTTGTTCACAACACTTCTGAAAGTAGGTAGAGAGCACAGTATCTCTATAACGTTTACCCTTTTAGATCCGAAAGGAAGAAGACGCAATTGATCTCCGGCGGGGGGGAAAAATGGCCTACCACGACAGCAACGGTGGCTACTTCTTCGACGGTGAGTACCCTTTGACCCATTACCACAATTACCCTCGTCATTATCAGTATGATTACGTTCCAGTCGTTCAAGATCCAGCCTTTTACTACAACAACAATGTCGAAGAACATCCTCCATTTTCGAGCTCCAATTCAGCTGCATACTGTCACGCCTATGCGACCACTGCCAGCCAGCCTCTGTTCCTCGCCTATGAACCAGACGAGAGCTTCACTCACTACTCCGAATTCCAACAAACTCGACCGATTGTTTCGTACTCTGTTTCGGATTTCAACGAGACCGATTACGAGGAGTACGATCCCACTCCTTACGGCGGCGGCTACGATCTAGTACAAACCTACGGCAAGCCGCTCCCCTACTCCGACGACACCTGCTACCCTCGTTCCACCGCGGGCCCAATTCCCGCCGCCGCCCCAATTGCAAAACATCCCCAAATTGGAAACGAGAAACAACCCACTAGTCCGAAAGCTCCGGCGGTGGAGGAGGAGAAGCACACGATCCCAGAAGCAGAGGAGGTAGAAGCGGAAGCAGAGGATGGAGGAATTGGGGGAGGGTACGGTTTTGATGGCGGGGAAGCGGGTCGGGTTGTTCCGGCTGGTTACGGGTTGGAGACGGTGGATCTGTGCGAGAGTCTGTTCGGAAATTGGCCGTGCCTGGAGAAATTTAGGAGAGAAAATGATTATGGGAAGATGGGAGGTGGGGATTGTGGGATTAGCAATGGAGGAGAGTGGAATGAGATGGCGGCTGATTATCTGTTTGGGAGTTCGTATGATCCGTATGATGGGGAAAGGAGGAAGGATCCATGGGGGTATCAATGGCGGGCTGAGAATGAACAGGCGCTAACTCTGTACCCGCCGGCGGATAAGTATGTGGAAGATTCGTGGTAATAGTTAGTTTCCTCTCTCCGTTTGAGACTCGAACCTAGAGCTTAATTGTCGTATCAAGTAATGGTACTAATTCTTATGGGAAGTGTACAAAAGAGTGATTTGAGGGTTTGAATAAGGCTTTTTTTGTAAGATCTCAAATGTTGGGACTCTTTATTTTCCTATTTGCACAATGGGTTAGGGTTGATTATGACGTTTTGAGGTTTCCAATGGCTAATTATTTTTCTCTTTTCTTTGTCTTGCTTCATTCTTTAAATTACAATGCGTACATTGTGTATCACTTTGTTTGCCAATATAAAGAATCATTTCATTAAATCAATTACACTAATTGAGAAAATTGAGGTGAGGTAATTGCGCAAGTCACCGTTGGGGGAAAAAAACCAGTCAAATCCACATTCATTCACACTATCAATTTTGAACCTTGAGAATTGAGATAAAATAGAGAAAGAAAAGAGTTTTTCACGATCACTTGTCTGTGACATTTGAGTTATCTTGATTAACTATTTATGTTGGGGAAGAAGAAGAAGGGAGGAAAGGATTTGGCATAATCTTACATGATGTGATTTAGATCATTGACCTTATTTGGAGGAATGAAGGTTCATTGGGTGTTACCACAAAATATGTTGCACGACTCGATGTGGTAGCAAACTCGAAAAATTTGAAAGCCTACATCCAAGCGACCGCATATTTGTTACGTGTGGCTATGCACGTTGTTACGATTAGGCATTATGTGTCGTCTCGTGTAGGAACTCATGATTGGGATGGAGGGGCTGTTGTGGTATGCTCTCTATGGTAGGAATGAATGACAATGTGGCAGGTCTGGGGCGGGTATCTCTATATCCATACCCGCCTCGTGGCAAGTCGAGTCCAGGATGTGGCAGCAAACTCGAAAATCTGAAAGGCTACATTCAAGCGACCGCATATTTGTTATGTGTGACTATGCACGTTGTTACGATTAGGCATTACGTGTCGTCTCGTGTAGGAACTCATGCTCGGGATGGAAGGGCTGCGATATGCTCTCCATGGTAGGAATGACAATGGGTAAGGTCAGGGGCGGGTATCCCGATATCCATACCCGCCCCGTGGCAGGTCGGGTCCAGGCAGGGGCGGACCCAGGGAGGTTTAGGGGTGTCCCCGGACACCCCTAAATTTTGGGAAAACGATTATCCAACCCTCGGTGGTAATTTACGTATGGACAAAAAAATATAATTGATAGTGAGGGACACCTCTTAAATTTGAAAAAATGATTATCCTACTGTCATTTGTGTATAGGAATATAAGTGGTAGGTTGGATAATTCAAATCTAGAACAATATTATTATTAATAAACTTAATTTCTGTTGAGCTAAACTCATTTGTTGTTCGATTTTGAACAATGTGTAATAGTAAAATGGCATTCCCTATCTCTAATTATTTTAAAACCCTAACAATTAAACTAATTTCAAACTACCCTTAATTTGTATTGATTTTATGATTGTACGACAAGTGTTGAAAGAGTCTTTCAGCTTTGGGTTACATCAACAACAAGTTTATAAATCGAATATGCGATAAGTTCGTGAATGATTGTTTAGCTAACAGTGTATATACAGACAATTTTTTTTTAACACTATAGACACCAAGTGTATTCTACAATTATTTCCGAATATGAAAACATATCATGGACTTTTTTAACCTATACGAGTAAGGTATTTTCATATTTACAATTTTATTTTTATCAATTATTTTTATTTAATTTATTTTTTAAAAGAGGACACCCCTATGAAAAATTTCTGGGTCCGCCACTGGGTCCAGGTTGGGTAATTTATCATAGGGTGCGGGTCGGGACAGGTCAACCCAATGGGTATGTAATTATATGAAAAGTATTAGAAATATTTGTTGTTTTCATTACAAGACCTAGAAACAAACCATAATATGATAAACGTAGATAAATTATTGGAGAAAAATCAAGATTTTCACGAATTTACAATTTTATTGTAGTTACAATATGATGTAATAAAAGAAAAATTCTGAGTAATTTGACTAAGATTACATGTAACTTAAGCATAAACGAGTCAAAAATGAGACGGATCATGGCAGGTTGGATCAATGAGAGTACTCGTGCTCGCCCCGCCTCACAACAAGTCAAACATGTGAGATAAAACGGGTTAGAGGGACATTGTCATCTCTACTCCATGGTCATATCCGTATTAGGATATTTTGTTTCTTTCTTCTTTGTTAGAGATCATTATTTATTGGGCCTAACCTAAGCATGTATGGGCCACTTATTATCCCCAGAATGTGTGATTGCGATTTCCACTCCAATTGAAACCAAAAAAGGAGGTGCTCAATAATGGCGTAGGGACATGTGAGAATATGATAGGATCGGATGCAATTGCTTGCAAAAATCTGGAACTGAGTCATCAGGGAGGAGATATTTTTTTTACTGTTCGTCATATTAAAGTGACTCTCACTATCAGTAAAAAAATTCCCTAAATTTCTCCAAGCATAATCATATGAAAGATTGAAAACGGTAAATGTTCTTGTGACCCAATGAACCGGAAAACTCCATGCTAGCCATGATTAGCTTTGATCTTGATTAGAGCTGCAATGATTCACGCGTTTTTTTTTTTCTCTTGAGGATTTTGAATGAATAATTTGATATAAAATGACTCACTAACTGATAGAGGTAAAAACAAGTCATTTGCTTGAAAAAAAAAAAAACTTGAAGCCATTCACGATAAAATCTCCACATTTTGAAAAGTTCTAAAATATAATAGATGCCACTCTCGATGTATCCCATCATGAACCATTCACACATATTTGTCGAGAAGCGTGATTTTTTAACCCTTGCAATGGCGTCATTAACAACAACACTTAACTCAGAAGTTGATAGATTAATGAAAGTATTTTTTTAACCCTTACAATGGCATCGTTTTTTTTTAATTCTCAATGAAATTTAAAATATCACCCCTATACAACAGTGACTGCGCTCATGATTGTTCCAAGGTCTTACTTATACTGAGTGTAGAATATCACGCCACAATGTCCGACACAATCTATCAAATCAAATGACTACATAATTTATTGGGTAAAGAGATTGATCTAGTGGTAATACCACTGGCCTTGGACCTGAAGGTTCCAGATTCGAATCCCTTAAGTAGTACCTAAAACTCTAAAAGTCAACCTATGTCACCCTCGTAATTTTTTTTTTGGTGAACACTAATTATTAGTCAAACATTTCATGCATTCTTTTTTATTAGTCAAACTTATTGAATTACTAATACTTAACCTATTTAATATGTATCATCAGACTCTCCAAAAATGTACCACAAAAATCAAGAACAAAGCAAATCAAATCAAAATAAACCATCATGTTGTTAGAAACATGCTTGTTGAAGAGTGAAGACCTAATCGAAGACATGCAGCATTGCCGTAACTATAAATCAATGTTAGTGCAATGCAAAAAGCAATTATACATGTTGATTATGTCTAATATGGTAATGAACTTTTGGCTGAGGGCAGTATCAACTGATGAATAATCATACATGAACAGGGTCGGGTCGGGTCGGATCGGGTTGGGTCAGGGCCCCCGACATTCCAATCACATGCATGTACGAAAAATAAATAAATTCAATCATTGGTGACAGACAAGGCAAAAAGAGCCATATAGAAAAGCAAAACTAAGCCAGTTGCTTTGATTAATATAGTATTCAGGGGTGTTTTGCTTACCATTATCAATACTATTTGTGTAACACTAAACATGTAATTAAGAAAATTGGTATATGTAGCATTGAAAGTTAAATAGTGTATTTACGGGTGGTTTGCTTTCGATGATAGTTAAATTGGGATGAATAATACATGTATAATACTATACTTGTAATTAAAGAAATTGATGTAATGTAGTTTATAATGCTTGATTTTTATGATAGCAGTATTGAAATAAGTTGTATTACTTTCTGAGAGAAATATCATTTTTATCCTATATTTGTAATGTAACATAGCGATTCATATAAAAAGTTGGGATATAGTTGGAATAAAAAAAACTTAATAATCTTAACCAACTATTTCAACAATCTCACATAAAACATGAGATTTAACTATTACACATTATGAATGACAGTTCCTGTCACACAAATCAAACAATGCTTGTATTGTTTTTCAAAATTGATAAACAATACCAACATTATAATTATATCTACCTAACGATCACCGACCCCTTAATTGGCGTCATTTCTTAGTCATTTAGTTCGTGGCATACTATGTATTTAATGAAATCGTTACATCTTCTACCTAGCTAGAATTGTAAGAATGTGTGCATTGTAAAAGTACAAGGTTATTGTTACATGTTATACACTTGCCTCATCATCATTTTAACTATATGATTCATGTTAAAGAGATCTCAAGCGTCATTTCTTAATTTAATATGTAAACAAGAAAGTGGAAGAATGTGCACGAAAATCAGTTAGAACTTACCAGTATTTTAAGAATTTAGTGTTTAGGGAATTAGGATAATTGTTTATGGCTGGCCATTTAAGGTATCAAATTTTAAGTTCAGGAGTTTAAGATAATATACAGATTAGTTGTAATTCTTATTTATATAATATTATTGGGACTAATGGTTAGCATTTAGAGTTATGCGTTGAGTTAGTAAAGGCTACATATTGTCTAAAGTACACAATATGTACTAAACTTTGTAGGTGTACCATAGATGTCACCCTAATTGTAATATTGTACCTTACATAATATAATATATTGTTGAAATTTACGAATAAACCTAAAAGTTGTAGTTTTATCAATTTCTGTTAGCCCATACACAATACAGTCTGATTGTGATGATCCTTGCTCAAATCATGTATTTTTGTGATAAAATCAGCTGTATTTTGTCACGACAATAAAATGAGTGGTATTATACCGCCACTATACCTTGTAATGTACGACAATGATACATTATAACCCAGAATTACATGTTTTTTTGTGTCAAATCCATAGGACTAAAAATAATAAGAAATGTAAAGGAAATTACTATGAATTTCAAAATCACATCCGAACAATCCTTGTACGCCAACAGACTGATTGAGCATTATTATACAACATGATGATTATGTACGCCAACATCGTCATCATTCGGCCAATTTTTAGCAACCGACAGTACCAATACATATATACTACTATTTGTGGCCGGACGAGCTATATATATGAGCATTGATTAATTACTTTAATTAACGAAGAATATATCGTACGTGATTAAAAACTAAGTGTTGTCATTAAGCAAAGTCCTTCTTGAAGCAGCTGTCTTTTCCTCTAACTTGGGTTTGAACTTTTCAAGATTATCCCCCGTGATTTCAGGAAACAATTATTAGAACTTTCCATTAATCCAGCCATTAATTAATATAATTGAACTCCCCCCCCCTCAAAATTCTCTCTTGTAGATCTTATTCTATATATATCCCCGCTCCATTGCAAGCGTCTAATTAAACACTGCTTGCTTCGAGTTTAACTAATTATTATATATATATATATAACTTCATTAAAGAGTTACTTTGGTACGAAAATTTAACCCTTTAGTTTAGTTATCTTAAAGGCATGTGTATACATCACATTTGATCGTAAGTGTTACATCAATACCTTTTATCTTATTTCAGATACCGTAATTTCATAGGTTATACTCAAATTCCGATCCTCTCATCTTGAAAAGACTCATACCCACGTATCAAATAACCCATCTAACAAAGAGTAACAAATCGATCATTTTTTTTTTTTGCCGGTATTGATTGTCATTTGCTTTTTTAATCTTCTTTTCCTTTTTCTGTTTCATTCCATTTACCTTTTAAGGATGGACAAACGAACTGACTGGAACGAAAAAATATCAGATGTCACATACTCACAAAAAAGTATTTTTAATCCAACTATAATCCCTATGTATTTTTTACTTTCGGTTCGATTTCGTATTAATTTTGATTCGATTCAAGATCGAAGGGAGAGGGAGTGGTTTGTTTTAAAGAAATGGATATTTTGGGGAAACCAATTGGCGGAGGAGCTGTTGGTTTGGAGATGGAGACGGCGGACGAGGTGGGGAAATGCAAACGCATTATTCGTATTCTTATTGTTTATTTCACCAACAGTTTGAATTTTGCAATAATGCTAATATTAGCTGTGACGTTTGTTTTTATTTATTTATTTTTGTTGAATATTATAATTTATTTTTCGACGAATATTGTTTTAATTTTTTATTTGGTTATAACAAAGAAAAGAACAAAACAAGATATCGGTGGCAGCTAAGCTGAAGTGGTCCTTTCTGTCCATTACCCAATTTTATGCCATTCTTTATCTTTCAAACCAGCTAGCTCTATATATCCGCTCCTCTCCATTACCACCTTATATAATGCACATACTCAAAGATCCTTTTTTACGATTTCAAGAGTTCGATACAAATCCCTTTTTTAAACCCTAGTGGAAGAATAGCCCAACAAATTGTATACTACACTTGATACTTCAGCTGTCTATAAGTTTTTCATACGATGAAAACACGAGTTGGTTTTAGTATTTACTCAATTTCGTATTATTGCACAAGGCGTCTTAATACGAATGATCAAGAGAACTAAACGAAGGCAATTCTCTTTTTAGTATGTTATTAGCAGTATACGAACTTGCAAGACATTGAGGGGACAAGAGGTACAACTTAGCGCAACTGGAGCCTTATATAGGGGAAACCTAGTCGTAAGCTCCAACCCCAAGTCTGATTGTGGTTGCAAAAGTGGAGATAGCTGATCTCATGAACTTCGAAACTGTATACAGATAAAAACAAAAATACATGTAAAAATTTGTAACGAATTCGAAAAATAAAACAATTGATAAGAAGAGATTTAATTTTTTTTTCTTTTAGTTTTTAACCAATTGGATCCATCTGATAAGGTTTCTTTACTACGAACCCCCTCACTTAAATTTATGACTCCCCCGTTTTTCCGGACTCCATTGCTACCCACCAAATGATAATATGAAGTAATTCTAAACCTTTCTAAGCATCCTTGGTCTACCACCACAAAACACCTCATGATTATCACCATGGATAATATCAAAATTTCGTAGTCGTCAATGCTAACTTCTTTTATCTATACGTATAGATACATGCATACTCATATGATGTTTATACTTTATAGATAAGAATAAGAGACGTTATCAGAATACGAAACATGAACAACCAGAAAACACCCAAAATAGGAGACGTTATCATAGGATGGGAAGTTTCTAGGGTACTAAATTATACTACAAACATATCATAATAAATTGTATTCCCTATTTCCTTCTGTTTTTTTTCTCCATTTCCTATTTACTCACAACATAAACTATTTTCTCGTAAAAGATTAAAAAAAGAGGAAGCCAAAAAATTACTAATTAAGTTGGTGGAGAGAACCTCGTGCTTTTCACCCGTCTAGTAGTAGTACTTCCTGTTGTTGATTCTATCTAGGGTTGAGCAGTCGCTCTCTGATTCCCAACAGAAACGCATCAGAAACTCAGACCTAATAAGTCATCCATGCAAAGCAAAGCACTGCCATTGCAGCATCGTTTTTGCCGTTATATTTGGATTTTCCTTTTTACTGCTTCAACTACTTTGACCTCGCCGTAGTAAAAACTCCCTTCCATTTCCTCTTTCCTCGTCCTTATCCTTCATAACGGAAAGAGAGAGAGAGAGAGAGAGAGAGAGAGAGAGAGAGAGAGAGAGAGAGAGAGAGAGAGAAATCACCGCGAATCTACGCCTCCCAAATCAGTAAAAACAACCCCCGGGATTTACTTCAACATGCACGCGATTTCCAAACCTGTCCTCTCCTCTCACACCTAACCAAAAGAGTAAAACGCCCATCTCCAATACATGGTTTGGAATTGATTTGGTTCGATCATATATCGAACCAAATCAGAGTATAACTCTCATTGTCAGAAACGATGGAAATTTGTTAGTTTTTTTCCTTTTAATCGTATTTTTTTTGTTCTTAGGTACCAACTGAAATAGTAACGACCATGCCTGATATGGATTCATTTCAAGTTGGCACGTGGCATGAGCGAGAGTGAACCATAGTAAATACTGAACCAAATCGATTGATTTGCATGTGCTTTGTGTCATTCCTCGACTTAGGTAAAAATGCAATGTGCATAAGATCTAACTGATTGTAACTACTACTGAATCCTATTGGACTGTGTTAACAATGATCACCTCAATTTGGTTTGATTCAACAAATTCTCTATAAAGCGGGGGGGGGGGGGGGGGGGGGAAATCAAATTGAAGCCTGACCATATCAAATAGCATAGAATGCAAATCGAATTGTGCTTCTAATAAGTTCTACAACAGTTCGGTGTGAATTAAATCATTATAATGTAGTCATACTTAACCATTCTCGCTACATAATTTTGAGTCATGTACTATTTGATCTAATCCAATTTATTTTGGACCGAACCGTCGCCCACACCGCAACCCTTCCAACATGACCAAAACCGTAAATTTCCAATCCTTCCTCTGTCCCTACAACGCGTTGTTTCCCACAAACTTTCTCCTTCCAATCCATCCAACGAAAGATCCAATTCTAAGCAGCTGCCCCTCTCTCTCTCTCTATGTATCTGCCTGTAAGCTGTAAGCAATAAAACTTTTTCCTTTCTCCCAAAAAAAACTCCCAAATCATCTCTCTCTCTCTCTCTCTTCCTCTGCTCTTCTCCCCCCTTTTCCGTTTTCCTTTTCTCCCCCTCCCTCTCCCTAAAAAATGTCGACTCCCCTGCCATCCACAATGGCTTCCATAATCATCTTCTCCGTCTCCCTCCTCCTCATCCTCTCACTCTCACTCTCACCCGCCGCCGCCGGCAGCGGCATGTCGGCGTCGCTCCAGAAGCTCCTCCACAGCCAGGGGCTCCCCGGAGGACTGTTCCCCGACAATGTCAAATCGTTCGATCTCGATTCCACCGGCCGGCTCGAGGTCGAGCTCGACGGCCCCTGTTTGGCCAAGTTCGAAAACAGAGTGTTCTTCGAGAGCGTGCTGCGGGCCAATCTCAGCTTCGGCGGGCTCATCGGAATGGAAGGGTTAACTCAGGAGGAGCTCTTCCTTTGGTTCCCCGTCAAAGGGATCTTCGTCAGCGATCCGGCGTCGGGGGTTATCCTGCTAGATATTGGCCTCGCTCGTAAGCAGCTCTCTGTTTCTCTGTTCGAAGATCCGCCTTCTTGCAAGGCTCAACAAGGTACAATTCTTCAGAAAGCTCTCGACTTTAGACGTTTCGGTGAAATCCCATTTGCCTGGTTGAATTGAATTGGATTGACTCAGTTGGGTTGACATTTTGCAGGTGAGTTGTTGAAGGATTCCACAGCAATGGTGGGATTTGCAGCTGAGAGATGAGAAAAAAAAAGGTTTAAACTTTCATATAGTGAAGGACAGAGAGAGACAAAGAGAATTTTCAAGTTTCCTTCCCTCCACCGGTTTTGATTTTTCTTCTTCTTCTTCTTCCAGTCTTTCTGGGTTTTCTTTATGTTCTTCATCTTCTTTTAACCTTTTCCTTTTCTTTCATTTTTGTTTCTCTTGCTTTTGTTTGAATCAAAGTTTTGAGTGGGGGAATAGAGGGTAGTGATAGAAATTGTACAAATGTTGGTAGTGGACTTCTGGTGGGTTGGGGGAAAATGGAGGGAGGGCTTAAGGATTCTTGAATTCTCTTGTTGATAAACATTTTGAATTTTTAGTTTATAGAGTTCCAAAAGATCTTCTGTGTTTGGATGGATGATGATTGTCTTCCTTAAATTTCATCTATACTTGCAATTAGGGGAGCAATTAGTGGGGGGGAAGATGGAGTGATTAGAAGCTAAAAATGAGTAAATTATGGTCTTAATTGAAGTGACCAATTTTCAGACCAGTTCTGTGAATGCCAAGTTAAAGCCACTTCTGGTAAGTAGTAAGGTTGTTAGCTGCTAAAATTGTTTAGGGTAAGTAGCTAGTGGAGAGCCCATCTTTTTATAGGAAAAAGCCTGATATTGCTACTAGCCTACCACCACAATGCCACAGATTCTACTCCTTTTAGAGTTTATGAGGCAGAGCCATGATTGGAGTTCTTTCACTTGAAAAAAAGCCGGATTCCATGGATGATTTCCAGCAAGTTGTCGACTGTCTTCTGAACTCTGAATCTCTTCCCTTTTTCGCTCTATACTCTACTCCACAACAAACTTCTCAGTTACTGGATTAGCTCGGGGGTTCGATATCTCTCGTTTTTCAGGATATAATGCTAGTGCAATTAATCGTGTCTTACCCTTCCTTCGAAATCGATTTAAGTTTCAAAGACTTCAAGCGAATCATACATATATTTAGAAACTTGGCAAAACTTGAAGAAATGAGATTAAAGCAATAACTTATTACCTTCTCTACAAGTAAGGGATGTAGCAAAATCTTTCTTCTCATGTTCTCAAACCCAAGTGCATTCTATCTTTGATTCAAAATTGATCAAGGTTTTGGAGGTTTGAAGCAAATAAATCATAGTCCAATACACTGAGAGTGGAAACATGAGCAAGAAAGCTTGGTGAAAAACCTATGCTCTTTTGATCTCAGTCATCAATCATCATGTGCACTTTCCAAGTTTGGTTACCTATACTCATACCAATAACCATTTGTCAAAATTCCCAAAAATAAAGACCACTGTCACTTACCTACTTTCAACAACAAATCAATCAAGTATAAGAGGCTTCAAGAAACATAATTCGATACATGAGAAAGGAATCATTACTAAGAAACTCGAGTAAAACCTAAAGACACTACATTACCATTTCACGTTGAAACTATTAAGCGATTACCATCTCCATAAGTACCTATCTATACCAACCCTTCTCAATCTCTATCCTTCAGATCTCCAAGATCCTATTGGTCATGTGTACCAATCAAGTTTGGTTTTGAACTATACAAGTAAACTATAACCATTCTTCACTTCCCCCATCTTCAACAACAGCAGATGGTGAAGCCGTGAAGGTCTTAAAAATGTAGAACATGTTGTCCTGTTTCATGGCTGAGTCACGAGCATTTGGTTCTTCTTCCTCGTTGCCCGTATGTAGCAGAAGATGACTGCAACGATGGCCATCAAGAACCCACCTAGAATCACGTCTCCTCCCACGAACGATCGATCTCGATGGTGCCCTGCTACCCTCCTGATGACCGGAACTCGTGGTAACAATGATGGCGATGGACTTGAAGCAGGGGATGATGGGTGAGCCAATCCTATCACAAAGAGATGAGCTGATACTAAGCAAGCTGTATGGAAGTGGAAAGAACCCATTTCAGTAGAGGTCTAGTTTATGCTCTTTCAGAGTGATGAAAGTAGCAATGTGGTATATATATGTGTGTGTGTGACTGGTGTGTTTCCACTTTCCAGCTGTGTTACAGTGTTGCAAAGTTTAAACAAAGGGAGTTAGGTGAGAAAGCAAATGTGAAATGAGCATCAAGACCTCGATTTATGAGCAAAAGCCCAGGAGGGGTCTAATTTTTAAAGGGAGAAATGTGGTACGTTGCTGCTTGGAACAGGGCTTACTTAGGGGAGAATGTAATGTTTCGAATGCAGGAAGAAATCAAAATCTAGTCCAGTCGTCTCTTTTTGTCTGTGTTCAAGAATCCTGGTCGGACACGGATTTCATTATTAGTTTGAGCTTTTGAAGATTGACAAGTCTGTGTTCTTTCAGTGTACAGTGGACTAGGCCATAGACTAGTCAATCTTTTTGTCACTGCATAGTCCTGGGCTCACACGGATTCATCACTTTAGCCTGTGTGTCCTTTTCTTTCTGGTTTGGAATTTCATGGTGGATGGCAAAGCCGATTAGTCGCACTCTCTCCAGGTAATCCGAAAATTCGAATTGTCAAGGTCAATTGATTTTTTTTACGTCATAATATCGAAAATTTTCATGTCAGAAGTATTAGAGGCCTAAAATTGAATAGCCTATGATATTATGAGCTCATTTAGAAATCAGAATTATCAAGACAAATTAGTAGTTCTCGAGGATGTAAAGATTTGAGAAATTCTACGAGCATAATGTATCAGATTCTTACGCAAATTACTCTCCAAAAACTTGAGTTTGAGGATTTTGTCATTTTAGTTTGGAAATTCAAGGACAAAGATCATTTCTGTTTGTTTTGGATGATTATCAACGGACTGATGGATGGAACATCGGATCTATAAAGTAGATTATGAACTAACATTTCCCAATCAAATTATGTCTCCAATCTAGTTTCTAAACTTTTTTTTTATCCCTTAAGCATTAGGTGAAGCTCTATGTCGTTCGGTAGACCAACAATGGTGACAATTACAAAGCTCAACAGAACATCCTTCGCAATTAATTAAGTTAATCCCTCTCCTTTCAAAACTTGGTAAATCATTTTCAATTTCTTCATATTCCTTTCATAATTTGTATCAGCAACTCCTTGATCTGATGAACCATTGCCATCTCTTCACAAACCACCTGAAAAACACACAAGAAAGAACAACATAGGAAAGTTTCAGAACCACTTATATCCTAATGAATCCATTATAATATCCTAATGAATCCTAATTAAGAACATATGTGATAACCTCAACACAGGATGAAACAAGGAATGCTCCTTTGGAAGTGGTCAAACTGGTATGAGTCAATTGGAGACCTAACTTGGTCATTCCTTCAATCAGCTTGGTGAACCTCCCTCTCTTCTTCCCCATCACAATCTTCACCCACAGCTTCTTCCCTTCAATCTGCATCACCTCCACTTCCTCCTGTTGAGACACACACAACTTTCGTTTCAATCGGTCACATTGATCGTATAGTAATAGTAATACTCTGCCACAGTCACAGACCTGAATCCCACAAGTCTTCATCTCCTCTGGATCGACACCAGCAGCAGCATCCTCATTCTTGATCTCAGCGGAGACAGTCGCCGGAGATTCGGAACCTTCGGCTGCTTCCTCCGCCGACAAAGCGTCCAGCTGGTCGCTCAAAACCTCCACATTCCTCATCAGCTCCTGTATGTAAGTAATGGCATCGTCTATGATCGTCGCCTTGTTCATCTGCAAAAACCAACCGAACCCAGAAAAGTTAATTGGCGAAGAAATTCGGAACTGGGAATCTTTTGGGAGACAGAGAGATTGGAGACTGGCATTGGTGATAATTGGGACGGAAGCTCGGAGCATGAGGAGGCGGTCGGTGAGCTTCTGCCGGCGCTTCCTCTCGGCGATGAGGTTCTTGGATTTGTAGCCTTTGGTTTCGTCGTCGGAGTAGCGGAGTTCCGGAGCTCTTTTCCGGCTGCAGACTTGCTGCTCGGTGCATAGCTCGTTCATGGTTGTGGCCACAAATTCCATGGCTGCTAGTGCTACCTCCTCTGTTTTCCTCTGTTTTGCTCTGTTTTCGATTTTGCAGTTATAAAGTTGGGTCCTTTATTGAGAGCTGGGGTTTGGTTGGTTATATATTACAGTTAGTCACAGGGAGATTGGGAAATGATTGTGGAAGGGAATAATGGTCAGTTGTGTTGCAGTCAGTCACTGCAGAAACTGACCTCTGTTTTTCCTTCTCTTTCTTTCCATTTCCTATGGTACAAATGGGTAAAATACCCATAGCTACAATGTTTAATTAAGCTCGAAATAAGATGAGTTGTTGGACTAAAAGAGTAAACAGGATTTGTGGGGTATGTAATTGAATTGTTATAAGTACATATTGGATTAGTGGGTATGTAATGTAACAACGATCTATATGTCAAATTGGATCATGGTATTTATACATAATTCTACGAACTCGAAGTATATTCTGATTGGATTTTATTTCTTCGGAAAAAAACTCTCAACATCTGCGCCCTATTCGGTATATACAATCACAATATTATTTTTAGCTATTATAATTAGCAATGTTACAAAGATATTTCATTTTGTTTTCTTTCTCCCTTTACGAGAGATATAATTGGGTTTATGGCATCTTATTATTTCTTCTGGTCCCCAAACATGAAAGTACAAGAAGTGCGTGAGTGAGATATGGGTGATCGCCATATGCTCTGTGAAGTGAGGTGAGGAAGTGAACTCAAGCTTGAATCAGTTGCAGTCAACAAGTAACAGTTCCTCTGAGGCGTGCCATATTCTTCCATGCCAAATTGGTTGTGTTTATATCACACATCTGAAGCAACTAACTCATAATAAGCCAACTGTTTTGATTCACAGTAGTGAGGCTGTTTTTTTACTTTAGTTTTGCCTCCCATAGAAGTTGGATTATGGAAGGCAGAGAGCTCCCATTGTTAATACTTAACATAGATCAAACTTGGAGGAGTTTCATTAAAAGAGCTAAAAAATACTAGTGAACTTGTTCAGTAATCTCAAATTTTCTAAACAAGTGATAAGTGGATAGTCCGACCACAAAAATTACTTAATTTTATTAGAAGATGAGAATGCACATTTTAAGATGAAATGCGGGCAATTGTGTGATACATTGTAGACTAAAGCTAAGAGAACTGAGCCCGTAAAATAGATTTTTATGAAGAGGAGACTACTCATACAATGACACATATCTTATTGCCAATGGCATGCTCAGTAGGTCTTGGTAGATCGCCTATTTGTTTGTCTGTTTCGTATGTTACAAATTGATTGCCATGAAGCAAGATGAATTATCTATTGTGTTTTATTCTCGTTATTCATTGCAACTTTTATTTCTCTAACTGAAATTGTGAAGCGTATTTAGGATTGCGAAAAAAAGATTCAAAATCTAGGTAATATCCAAACTCAATTTAGTAGGGGCCAAATCAAGTTTAGGTTATATAATTTTTTATTTAGACTCATATTCCAATTTTTAGTTTGGGTTAAATTAGACCCATGATATTGGGTTATGAAAAGAAAATGAATATCCAATTATAATGCATTTTTTTGCCTTCTCTTTCTCCTAAAACAACTAGAAATGTGGGAAAAATAATTGGGTTGAAAAGAATTAGCAAGATAGTCCACATTATCGTTTGGTGTTCACAATCATCTGGACAAACATAGACAAATTTGGCTCTCCTCCAAATTGGACTAAATCAAACCTAACCTAGAACGAAAAACTATTAAAAGTGCTTTTGAGCTCATCCATACTCATATAAATGATCGAATTGATTGCACGTGATCCCAGGTTTAGTAGGCCTCGTTGTAAAAAAAACCACTCAATTAAATAATGAAAATTAGTTAAAATTATCCAATGAAGAGCATGTCATTGTGTTTCCAATTTTTTCCTGTGATTTAGGTTTTGAGTGCTTAAAACTATAATTTTGTGTAACATTTATCTCAATTCCTTAAACCCTAAAGCCCTAATAATGGTAATAAAAAAAAAGCCCTAATGCTCCGTGAGGAGGCTCATTTTGACGGCCCAAAGGCCTAAAAGAAACCGCGCAAGTCCAATAGCTTTCCTACAGTTATTTCGCTCGTTGGCCAACCCGAGGGACTGAACTCCCATGACCCATCACTCCTTTGCTCCAAAACTTAAAAATGTCGTCTCTCGCCCGCGTCCTCCGCCGCGCCTACTGCACAGCCACAACGACCGCCGCCACCACGACCACAACAGCCGCTGCCGTCGAGCCCAGCCTCAAAGCACTCTCCGAGAGCCTCTACAAAGAGCGCAGCCTCAAGCGCCTTGTACAAAAGTTCAAGAAGAGCTCGGTAGACCCGCGCTTCCGCACCAAGATCGGCATTTACGAAGACGTCATCCACCGCCTGGCCTCCGCGAAATGCTTCAACTGGATCGAGGAGGTTCTCGAGGACCAGAAGCGGTTCAAGGATATCTCCAAGGAAGGTTTCAACGCCCGCCTGATCTCTCTCTATGGTAAGGCCGGGATGCTCCAGCAGGCACAGCAGGTGTTCGACGAAATGCCCAGCAGAAACTGCAAGCAGACTGGGCTGTCCTTCAACGCCCTTCTCGCGGCGTGTTTGAATTCCAAGAAGCTGGACAAGGTCGACGAGTTGTTCAAGGAGTTGCCGAAGAAGCTCGAGATTCAGCCCGATGTTGTCTCCTACAATACCCTGATGAAGGCCTATTGCCAGGTGATGGGTTCCATCAACTCGGGAGTGAAGCTGCTTGACGAAATGGAAGCCAAAGGTTTGGTGCCTAATCTGATTACTTACAATACGCTTTTAAGTGGGCTTTATACAGATGGGAGACTCGAGGATGGGGATAGAGTCTGGGAGAAAATGGTGGGGAAAGAAGTTTCTCCTGGTGTTAGAACCTACAATGCCAAGTTGCTTGGGTTGTCTTCAATGAAGAGAATGAAAGAAGCAGTCGAGTTACATGGAGAGATGAAGACCAAGGAATTCAAACCTGATGCCGTTAGTTTCGGTCTCCTGATCAAAGGGTTTATAAAGGAGGGAAATTTGGAGGAAGTGAAGCGAATGTACGCCGAAATGCAGGAAGCTGGGTTCAAACCCGACAGGTTTGGTTTTGCAAGGCTGGTTTCTTTTGCTTATGAGAAGGGTGATGTGGGTTTTGCTTCGGAAGTTGCTAAAGACATTTTCAAGGCGAAGAGGCTAGTTGAAGAGAAGCTGTTGCAGCGAGTGGTGGACTGTTTAGCCAAGAAGTCGAAGCGCGAGGAAGCAGAGGAGGTTGTGCAGCTTGGAAACAACTGTGGTTACTTTCATTATAAACTGAAGGTGCCAACAGAGGAGTAAGCCAACTGGAGGTTTGGTTTAGACGGGTATGTTTCATTTGGAGCTGCAACTGAAGGAGCCCATGAAAATAGTTTGTTTCTGCAAAGCGTTATGCTGTTATTGTCAATGCTTCTACTCCCCATTTTCCCAATGTTCATCTACTGTCGAAACAAAGCTCCTTGTCGCCATTTCTTCGGCTCAGCAACGAGAGCTCTAACTGTGATTCATTCCCACTGGAGTTACAACAGGATTAGCATTCCTTATTCGAGGTGGATTACTGTTGTTTATGCCAACCAGGGTTGATCAAGTTCTTTTTTATTTCATTTTTTAACAACGATTTCCTTGTATTATAACGCAGAAGCCTAACATTGCCTTGTTGGGCAATGAATCAAACCTTACCCCTACTGCAAGAGACCATAAAATGAGCAATTCATTAAGCCAAAGTAGCTGCAGGGGGTGAGAGGAAATAGGATGATTCACTTCTGTAACAGAGTATAGCACATTCTGATCAAAATTATGGTTAGGCATCGAGACCGCAACGAGAACTATCGATTCAGGCACAATTTCCTTGAGGATAATTGAGAACTAGCCAATCCATTAATAGTCTTACCATGGAATCGAAAATAATAACTATATAGCTCAACAACTATGGATTGAATAATATCTTTGAAACATTTAGGACATTAGTTGAACTCAAATTATAAATTTTGCTAAAACTACTACAGTACACACTTAATTCTTTCTTTTTTAATTGAAGAATTTATATTCTTGATCTTGGCATCTTATTTCAATTTTAGAATTTCTGGGTATGTTTTTCATTTTTTTTGTTTCATAGAAAGCATTTGCTACGGGCCTCTTCTTGTGATCTTAAGCCCAAACCGCTGCGAAGAGCCCAAAATGCAGATTCCTAAGCTTCATACTCCCTTTTGTTTGCGTCGTCCGGGAAAACGAGAGACTTGAAGCCAAAATGAGCACAACGACAAGGTCCACCGTCAGCCGCCTCCACGGCCTCTTCACCAAAAATCCCGTGGCGGCGCCGGCCGCTACTGCGGCCGGGGGAACGTCCCCCGTCACTACTCCCGCCGTTGCCACTACGAAATCCGGGAGAGTCAAGGAGCTCTACAAGGCGCGCAGCCTGGAGCGCCTAGTCGCAATGTTCAAGGAGTCCTCCAAAGAGAGGCGATTCCGCGCCAGGTGGGGCATCTACGAAGAAACCGTCCGCCGGTTGATGCGAGCCAACCGCCACGACTGGATCGAGGAGATCCTGGAGGAGCAGAAGAAGTACCCTGACGTCTCCAGGGAAGGTTTCAACGTCCGCTTGATCAGGCTCTACGGCGATGCAGGCATGTTCGAGCACGCCCGCAAGGTGTTCGACGAAATGCCTGGGAGATCAAGCAAAATAACCGTCTTGTCCTTCAACGCCCTCCTCGCCGCTGCAGTTCACTCCAAGAAGTACGACGTGGCCAAGGAGCTGTTCGAGGAATTACCGGCGAAGATGGAGATCAAACCCGACGTCTTCTCTTACAACATTGTCGTCAAGGGATTATGCGAGGCGGGTTCTCTTGATGCAGCTGCTTCACTGATCGATGAGATGGAGGAGAAGCAAATCTGCCAACCTAATGTCGTCACGTTCAACACCCTGCTAGATGGGTTCTACTCAAATTCGCGTTTTGATGAAGGAGATGCCATTTGGGCTCGATTGATGAAGCATCAGAATGTCTCCCCTGATGTGAAGAGCTACAGCGCCAAGTTCATGGGGCTGGCTAAGCAGAAGAGAGCACAAGAGGCAGTCGAATTGGTGGTCGAAATGAAAGAGAAAGGTCTCGAACCTGATGCGATCTGCTGGCACAATTTGATTAAGGGGTTCGTGAACGAGGCAAACGTGGAGGCTGCGAAGCAATGGTATGGCGAAATGAGGAGCCGAGAGTGTAAACCTCACAGGATGACTTTTGCGGCATTGATACCGTTTGTCTGTGGGGAGGGCGACGACGCAGGGTTTGGGTTTAAACTGGCGATGGACATTTTCGGGACGAAACAGCTGGTCGATCAAGGGCTGTTGCAGAGGGTGGTGGATGCACTGGCGAAGGCAGGGAAGGTGAAGGAAGCTGAGGAGGTGGTGGCGCTTGGGATGAACAACGGGTACTATCAGTACAGTAAACTGTGTCTGCCTTCAACTGGAGTAGCTTAATGAAGAGCTGTGACTTCCTCTCCATTTTTTATCGCAGTTTCTTGGTAGTATGCATCTTAGCTTGAGCTTCACTTGTTGAACCTACAAATTTATCCGCATTTGATTTCAAACCTTCAGTGATATGGTGACTTATCGAGCAGTCATGATCAGTCTCATTGTTTCGATCTCCAACATCGGTTCGTAAAATGGTAAAATTGAAGATCTGGTGGTCCGCATTAGTTTGGTAAAGTTGAAGAAATGGCTCATTAGGTTTATTTTTGGAGTAAGCAGCAAGGAAGTAGGAAAAGCTCATAAACTCCATTGGTTCTCCTCCGCCGCCTCATAAACTCCTTTAAGCCTCGAAACTTTTTCCCCCAGGCGACCATTACCATGATAAGCAAAGCGCAGCCGCAGTCCGTCTACCGCCGTCTCTGCGCCCTCTATTACTCTCCCCCGCCTTTACAGTGGCGGGTTATTCCACCCAACCCGCTGCCACCTCCAATCGGATCTTACTCGAGAACCAGAGGACGGTCAAGAGATTTAAGGAGTCCTCCGAGTCGGAAGACTTCCGTTCTCGATTCGACTGTCTACCTCAACACATTCAGGCGTCTTGCAACGCACGGGGAGTTCTCCATGATCGAGGAAATCGTCGAGCATCAGAAGAAGTTCAAAGACATCACCAGGGGGAAGTTCGTCTCCCGGCTCATCGTCATCTGCGGCAGGGTGGGCATGTTCAAACAAGCACGCAAGCTGTTCGACGAATTGCCCGGCATAAATTGCCCGCGAACCGTTTACTCCTTAAACGCGCTGCTCTCGGCCTGCATCGATTCGGAGAAGTGGTGACGTATAACACGATCATGAAAGGGTTCTGCAAGATGGGTGCTTTGCACTCTGCTGCTTCTACCATGGATGAGATGGTGAAGGAAGGTGTGAGCCCAGACGTGGTTAGTTTCAATACGGCGCTGATGAGTGCGTTCTACAGAAATGGGAGGTTTGACGACGGCGAGTCCATCTGGAAGAGAATGGCGGAAATGGACATCGCTCCTGATATCGTAAGCTATAATTCGAGGATGCTTGGAATGGCAATGGTGAAGCGAACGGAGGAAGCGGAGAAGCTGATTGATGAAATGGGTACCAAGGGAATTGAACTGATGTCCACAGTTTCAGTGCTTTGATTCAGGGGTATGTCAAAGACGACAACTTGGAAGCTGTTAAGCGTTGGTATGGCGAATTTGAGAAGAAGGGGCTTGCACTCTTTAAGGCCCTCTTTGAGACTTTGGCACCGTTTCTCTGTGAGAAGGGTGAGCTGCAGCTTGCTTTCGAGCTTTGTCGCGAAACAATTCGTGCGAAGTGCGCTGTTGATGCAGTTTGTTGTTGATGAGTTGATGAAAGGGTCGAAAGTTCAAGAGGCAGGGGAGCTTGTGCAGCTTGGTAAGAAGAAGTACAAGCTCGTCCTATAATCTGAAAGCTGCTCCTTTCACTTGACTAATGAATACGATGGAATAAAGAAGACGATCCATGAAGCAAGTCCTTCCACTTCGTCTTCCTTCTCTCGTTGTCTCTTTTACTGAAAACACGAATATATGCAGGTTATATCATTTGAACTGATATGTGGTTTATTAATGTTTTGTGACGTGAAGGGATTCTTTGGGAGTTTATGGGGAATAGTTGGGTAAGTATTTCGTTATGTCACATTAGTTGTTTAGTTGGGTAGGAAAAAAGAATTTATCAAGTAATATATATTATGTAATTAGTGTGATTACACATTAAGCAAATTATTATTATTATTATTAGTATTATTAACCCGCAAGTTTACTCAAGGTTCAATTACTGTTCATTACGACAAAATAGCGGTAACCACGTTTTTATCGGAAACTCTAACCCTACGGCGCCGTAAGACACAATTTTACCGAAAATAACGGCACTTTAGTCGGGGAACACTGTTCATTGCCAGATTATTAAACGATTTAATTTCCTGTGGCCGTTTGTAGCGTAATTCCGTGGGAAGACCCTGGCGGCTGGGCAAGCATCAATTGAACTTTTCATATAGGGTCATGAAGAGGAGGAGAGAAGGGGAACTGAAGAAGCATGTAGTCACCAATCAGGTCGGAAGTTTATAATCAGTCGCCGACCACCGGGATGAGCTACATGGAACAATTGTCCCACTCAATGCATGCAAAAGAGCACAATTCATTTTCGTGTTGACGAGTCAGGTGCTTGGTACTCGGAAATTCGTCTTCTCTACTTCTGCCGGGAAGGAGATGAATTGGAAAGAGGGCGATGATCACCAAGAGAGAAGAAATGGGGAAACAAAGATCACTGAGGAGTAAAGCAGTTCATTTTGTATCTGATCTCACCACAGTTATGTTGTTTCTCCAACTCACCATCAATTAGGGCTGGCTATTTGGACCGGGACCGGATGAAAAACCGGAAACCGGACCGTATAACCCGGATCGAGACCGGACCGGGACCGGATAGTAAACAATCCAATCCAATCTTTGGACTTAGATTTGAGGTAAAAACCCGGATAAAGACCGGATAAGAGAGCTCAACACCCAAAACTTAAGGGTAATTTGCATAAACGGTCACAAACCTTTGCACTTAGTACAAAACTTAACCAACTCCTCACCCTTTTAGGCCTTAGGCCACTCAAATTCCCACAATCTCAATATAAAATCAAGACCGAATTGGGACCGGACCGGGTCAAGACCGGACCGGATCAAGACCGGACTGTATCCAATCCAATCTTCGGTCCTTATATTTTCAAAAAAACCGGACTGGACCGGATCAATTTGGGCCAATTTAACCGGACCGGACCGTATAGCCACCCCTACCATCAATGCATGCAGAAGAACACAATAACATTTGTCTATGGGCGAATGCAATAGGAGATTTAAACAGAGGTTTGCATGAAAACCTTCTTTGGTTTTATGTATTCCCACATGCAAAGAACTGTAACCATAAAAAAGAGATAAGAAGTACAATTGCATTTTGTGTGAGACGTCTGCTAATCAAACCGTAACAAAATGAAGGTAGAAAATATGTCAACAGAACTCATGCTAATAATAAATCTCTCCCAACTGGTGGTCGGAGACATTTTCCCAACTATATTTTTACCTTCTTCGCCCTTTAAATCACAAATGCAAGATGGAAGACCAAGGAGAAAGAGAAATAATGGGAAACTTGGGATTGGCGGGAAGAAAGATAAGGGATAATGCATAGAGATTGCAGAGCAGCTTGAAAAGGAGGGGGGAAGAGAAGGGGAAAGCGAATCCCTCATAATCATAGGTGCTGTCGATTTCGTTTGGGTTGCCATCGCAAAGAAGAATTTGGCCAAGGGGTCTGGGATTGTAAACAGAATCCATTGATGAATGAATAAATGGATATTACTCTTCTTCTTTATATTTCAATCAATTGCTTCTGTCTATGCATTTGCATGAGGGACACATGTTCACATATGAAATGATAAAATGCCACCTGTCTATGTCATGACTTGCCTTCAATTTCACCAATTAAGGCCCATGCTATAATAAAACTGAGGATTTATTGAGTTACTAAACTGCACACCTCATATATATGTTGATGCTTCTTATACGTTTTTATTACTTTATTTATTTTGGTTTTGCATATTTAAGGGCCTTTCCTGATTTGGGTATTGGTGAAAAAAAAGAATGAACCTTCATGAATCAAGCATGCAAAGAGTTGGGGTAACTGGTAACCATTAATCAACAAGAAAGGACGAAATGAAAACAACAATAAAGAAGAATTTCAGAAATTAAACAGTGAAAGAAAACTTGGCTTCATTATAATTTTCATTTTTAACTAACAACTTAATCAAATGTCACATTTTTTATAACTTAATTCCTTTATTATTAACTACCATACTCATCATCCAGTCAATTACATACATGTTAGATAAAAATAAGTTAAGTTTTGCATAATAACGTAGTTTGATATTTTTCATAACTTGATTTTATTATCGCACCACATATTACAAAAGTTTGTGTAATACTGTTTAATAAAAAAAGTTATGTAAATTATCAATACACTAAACATATTAAGTAAACCTTATGGAGAATAGTTATTTCAATTAAACAAAATGTATTGTTTTAGTCATCTGTAATGATTAAGACACTACGTAGAGGGATATTCATTTCTTTTGTATCAACTAAACGAATATAATTATGTAATTTTTTCTTTTGTATCAATTAAAAAAATCGCTATTTCCTTTGTATCAATTAAACATATCAATTTAATAAACATATTCTGTCAGTTTTTCGTAATATAAGTTTGAACAAAAAATTAATTTATAATTAATAAAATTGTTGATCATAGCATCTGTCTATATTATATAGAGGATTTGTAAGATCAATTATATGTTACATAAAAATTTAATAAAATTGTTATATATTCTATAACTTAATTATTTTCATTATTAACTGAAATTCTATAACTATTACCTACCATATGCATCAAATGTTATACTTTTTCTAACCTATTTCTTACATTATTAACCAAAATTCCTTAACTATTACCTACTATATTCAATATCTCATCAATCTGCATTATGCAAAGGTTCCATAAAGTATGTTAATTTTTTCATATAAATATAATCAACTGTGATGTTTTCACAACATGATTTTATTATTAGACCACACATTGCATGAGATTTACATCGTTCTACAGCTACGTAAAGTAAATATATATTATGTAAAAATTATGGAGGAATAGTTATTTTTATGGACCAATTAAAGTAACATATTACGTAATCTTCTGTAATGATCTAAACACTATGTAAAGTTTATATAGATATCTTACCCAAACTATTTCGAAAATTATTTGATTTCAACTACATTATCAAATGAATTGATAAAATTTAAAATATAATTAATTCATTACCGCCGCGAAGCGCGGGTCAAAAAACTAGTTACATAATTGAAATTCCTAAACCTGCTCTCTTTCTCTACCGAAGCCGAATCCTCCCCTCTCTTTTTCTAGTTGCTGCCGCAACTTTCCTTCCTCCCTCTTCAATTTTCCGAAATCCCAATTCATCCACTCTTCTCTAATCCCTAACTTGGATAAATTCCTAATTGATCTAGCTATTTTCCTATTCTCGAGAGTCATCCGATGGCGCGAGAAGGGCTAGGATGTGCGAGAGACTGCAATGGGCTAGGTTGATTAGGCATGAATCGAGCCCAAGAAGAAAACAACTAAGCTTGGTGGACCAGTTGGGGGCATGGCCTGAGTGGGGGCGACCGTAGGCAGGTTTAGGGCATGGTAGATGGCCGATCGAGATCTGATGGACACGTGCCAACATGAACCAATCCGAGCTGAATCAGGACAGCAAGGGAGCCGCGAATTTGAGGGGTCTCCAAGGCGACTCAGATTCCTTTTATCCACCCCCGACGACTCCTGAGGTTGACAGGAGGTAGTCTAGCCGGTTCTAGGATGCGAGACAAGAGGAGTGGACAGGGCCAGGAAAGTATGAGCGCAAGGAGGAAGAGATAGCGAGCTGGAGGAGTACCATAGACCGCTACCAGAAGCCTAGTGGAGGAGGGAGTAGCAACACTACTGCCAGTGGTGGAGGAGGGGACGTAGTTGGGGGCGGCCCGAGGTCAACTCCAATTGTCGCGACAACACCTAATGTAGTTTGACCGGGACATCGAGTTCCTTCGAAGGGGCTTGTCAGGATGTCATCGGCGGAAATTGAGCAGAAGAGGCGGAAAGGGAAATGCTTCAACTCAAATGAGGGATTTACATTCGGCCACCAGTGCGCGAAACCGGACTTGATGACTCTTGTTGGACGCTGGGAGGATGCGCCCGAAGATGAGGCATAGGAGGCAAGGAAGCTGAACCAGGATGCAGAGATTCAACATTGAGTGCAAGGTTGTTCTCAAGAAGAGGGGATGTCGGGAACACGAATATTTGCTAATTTTTATCATTTGGACTTATTTATTGTTTATTAATGTTTTGTGACGTTAAGTGGTTCTTTGGGGGAGTTTTTTTTTGGAATAATTGGGGAAGTATTTCATTAAGTCACATTAATTGGGTAGAAAAAAAAGAAATTTTTATCGGGTTATATATATTCTTTGTGATTATAATTGGTTTGAAACGGTTTGTTCTTGAATTTGATTTTTGGAGGTTAGCATTATGGAAACAAAATTATGTTGACGAGTGATGACAATTGACAGGATTGATTGCATGCTTAAATTTATTTGCTCTCTGCATGAGTTTGCTGAATATTTATAACCAAAATTAGTCGAGAATGCCAAATTTAGCATAGCAAATAGATGCAACGCAGCGCAAATATGCACATAACTGAAAGAAGCTTTTATTATTCGCCATTCCAATGCACAACGTCGACAAGAGATTAAAATTCAAATCCTAATCTTTGTTTCTGGAGTTGAACTAGGAGGTGGAGGTTTGCCATAAAACAGAGGTTTAGGTTCTTATATCACGATGTCTTATACTCTACTAGTTGCTGGAGGAAGGTCCCCAACGAATGGAGGTTCAGGATCAGGTTCCTGTATCACGATGCCTTGTACCCTACCAGTTGCGGGAGGAAGGTCCCCAACGAATGGAGGTTCAGGATCGGGTTCCTGTATCACGATGCCTTGTACCCTACCAGTTGCTGGAGGAAGGTCCCCAACGAATGGAGGTTCAGGATCGGGTTCTTGTATCACGATGCCTTGTACCCTACCAGTTGCTGGAGGAAGGTCCCCAACGAATGGAGGTTCAGGATCGGGTTCCTGTATCACGATGCCTTGTACCCTACCAGTTGCTGGAGGAAGGTCCCCAACGAATGGAGGTTCAGGATCGGGTTCCTGTATCACGATGCCTTGTACCCTACCAGTTGCTGGAGGAAGGTCCCCAACGAATGGAGGTTCAGGATCGGGTTCCTGTATCACGATGCCTCGTCCCCGACCAGCTTCCACCATTCCTTTCTTAACAGCTGTGACATTTATCCACCAAACCCAAAATTAATTAAAATTATAAAGAATTGAAATTAAAGATAAAATATATGCATTATATAAAATAATAATTTGCATGTAGTTCACTTGGGAGACAATTAGTTCTACATGAGGACATATAGCATAATTTGGGCTTGATGCATTGCAATAGCCAATATGTGATATAAATGTATAGGAGAAAGAGAAGAGTCTCACAAGAAGTAACGATGAGAAAAGAAGCCAACAAAAGAGAAAGCTTCATGGATGCTGATATCTTCATTTTATTATTACGATTGAAATATACATGTTACAAATTCTAATTAATGTGATAATTTATAGTAGTTGTAGTGGTCAAATCCAAATTTGCTTCACTAAGTAAAACAAGGCAAGATATATGTGTGGGATGGGAGAAAGGCAAGTAATTAATATTAATAAAATACGAGGGAAAAAAAGAAGGTAATAAGATAATTAGAAGAGCATAATTTTTTTTGTCTTATCAAGAATTAAATGTTATTGCATCATATTTAAAATAATGTAGCAATAAGACTATGGCAAGTAAATATGAAAAAAAAAACAATATAATGATGAGTAGATTTCTTTCGCATAATAATATGAGTAGTTAACTTGTATTTCACTATTTCCCCATGCATATTTTATTTATCTAATTACTTGCCTTGTTTAATTTCTATATCATAAATATTTATCTTGCTTTATTATATTGTTCGTGAAACAAAATCTACTTTTCTTAAATATATCATATATATACATTGTCTTAAATTTTTTCATCGTAGATATCCGGTAAATTTGTTCTGAATTCCGGTGCAAAATTTGAATATGTAAAATGCACATACACCAAATCTCGTATCTTACACCTTTGAATCGAATTTAATCACATCTCATACGAATTTTTATCATAGTGGTAAGAACATTAGTAGTAGTGATAATAAGATACCGAGTAAAATGAAGGAGCCATACTAGTTAAATTAAATCCCAAAATTTCTCCACCGAATATGATCATTTCCATAATTCCAGGCTGCAGGGAGGGGAAGCAGGCTCGAAATCATCACCATCTTTATTGGGGCCATTTATTTTTAGAATTTTGGAATTATTGGGGCCATTTATTTTTAGAAGTTTAATTAATTAGTTTGTATTTCATATTATTTTGGATTTTAATTATTATTGTTTAATTTTCTTAGTAGGATTTGAATTGTTTTTTTTAGTAATTGTTTAGAATTTTGGTTATAGTACTTTCCTTGTGAGAGAAGCAGTCATGTTTTAGATAGGAGAAATGAGATGTTCGATACCTATAAACATGTACTTTGTCTTTCGTTTAATAATATGAGAAGATTGAGACCCAAAATTGATTTACGAGTTTCATAGTTAGGAATAGTTGTAACATAATTTGGAGTTGTTCTCGCCACTAAAGAGATCCTCTACTCGAAAGCTTTCGAACAATGCATCAAAGTCCGCATTCTGTGGGTTATTACATTGTGAAGCAAGATAACGATCAGATCAGGGAAAGCTTTCAAATAGTATGGACCTTATATGGTCCTTGAGCCTAGGAGCACTTTGGTTTTGATCAACGACTTCGTTGCAACCATACATCAAAGCCACCATTTTGGCAAGATTATGGGCAGCCCTATTGAAAGCCAACGGAAACGGCGTCGTCGGAGACAGAGATTCATTGTTGAGTTGCTTCCATGTCTCTTCAATCATTTCCATCACGTGCTCCCTGGCGCCATGGATCGACGACCCGGGATTCTCCTTCACGTAACAATCCAAGTACGATCCGTCGTTTCCAGTACTGTGTTCCTCGTCCTGAAAATCATAAATGATGGCTCTTCAGATCAGTGAGGGCGTAGTCAGACTTTAAACGGACTGGGGTACTTAAAGTTTTTATAACACTAAAATTTATGTATCTAATGAGATTTGAGTTGATTGGGGTCCTTAGTCACAACAAGTATCGGTAAAAATATGAGGTCTGGTATTTACATATTCGTATATATACCAAAGTCTATTTATATACGTAGGTACCGTGGCAGAGAGGTCGTCCCACAACCGGAGAATCTTGGCGACGGAGGAGATTACTGGTGGGTTTTCGCCGCCGATGAGTTCGACGTTTCGTTGTGTCAGCCCTCGGCCCAAAATGAAGAAGAGGTGAACCAGCACAAGCTGGACGCCTGAGCTCACTATTCCGTTCTTCAAGTACTCTTCCGTACTTGGCAACTCTCCTGTCTTGAACCACTTGGCTTCTACTAGAAATGCCTTGAAAAGTCTTGCCCACTGCAAGATTAAAAAAAAACAGCCAATTAAATCAGGGGGAAGAGAGTATGAAGATGGATGTTTGAACTCTTTTTTTTTTTTAATTATATTTTGCTGTCTTATATTACTCTTTTACATAGTCACGTTAAACCAAACTATGTCCTTGATTTCTCACTTACATTTATTCTACTTTCACTACGAATAATTAATTAAGGACTTATATCATACGTACAGCTTGTTGTAGGGAAGGTATAGGGTTCCATCCATGTCTTTTGTACACGTTGTATCCAATCTGATTGGTGACCTCATGAAGAGCTATAAAGCATTTCCTCATGTAATCGGGCAATTGATTCGCCGATGTAACGTCCCATCTGCATGCACCCAACAAATGATAACTTTATCCTGACGAGATCATTGTACTTATTAGGCATATATGTGTGTCGTCCTTCATATTATCACGTGGTTAAAATAAAACTAGCTTATTACCCGGCCCGTTGGCCGGATTACTGTATGTTACCCACTTGTGGAATGGGAGAGAAAGCAAGTGAGAGTGAAGGGATTGGGATTCCACTTGATTAGGACCGACCCACTAATCCAATTCTTCCCGACCCGCCTCAACCTACAGGTAGGGATGGCAATTTCGACCTGACCCGTTTTACCCGACCTGTTTGACCTGTTTTGGGGCGGGGCGGGCATGGGTAGTCTCATCGACCCGACCTGCCCTGACCCGCCCCATTCTCGACCCGTTCTTGTCTAAATTACATGAAATCTTAGTCAAATTACTTTGAATTTTACTTTTATCGCATCATATTTTAGCTATAATAAAGTTGTAAATTAGTGAAAACCTCAATTTCTCTAATAATTTAACTACAATTGTCATAATATTGTTTATTTTCTTAGTTTTATAATAAAAATAACGAATATTTCTAATGTTTTCAAATAAATTGCATACCCATTGGGTCGACCTGCCCTAACCCGCGACCCGTGATCAATTACCCGACCTGGACCCGCCCTGCCACGGGGCGGGTCTGGGTACCAAGAAACCCGGCCCGGACCTGCCCCATTGCCATTCCTACCTACAGGGTCAGAAAGAGTCAATAAGAAAATACGAACGGGAGGATTAGTCATATATCTTGACTCTTCAGAAGTGGGTCAAACAGGATCAAGGTTGGGTGAGGGCAATTTTTAGCACTAAGCAGAGTTCTGGGTTGAATACCTTTACTTAGGCCTAGAAATTGGTGCTGATGCAGACTGCAGTTTTTATTATACCATCATCAATCATCAATGAATTAGTCCCGGGCATCCCTCCCCGTTGTCGGTCTGAATTCTAATGATGGCTTCATTCCTTGCACCAGCCATATCAGCGAGTTGCCATCTCGAGCATGATTTGCCTATGTACAAATAATACAATTAGAGTATGAAATGAATTCAATGAAAAGGAAAAGAGAATTCTATCACATGCCAATAAATACACACATAATAGTTGAAGCTAAGTGAAAGTCATTACTCGCACATCAATTCTCAAAAATTACAGACTAAACATTGGCTAGAATGGCACTGAAACTACCAAGAATCATGGACGAAACAACTTGTCAAATTAAATAATCCTTATACTGAAACTACCTTCTAACTTGAAATAAGACATGATCTCAGTTCATAGCTCTCTTCTCACTATGAATTGGTTGCAGCTCGTCCTTATCACTGCCTCTCAAGCTCAATTCAAACAGAATAGAGACCGTTATGTAAGATAACCATATTCTTACTGATCATAATTCCTTTCTTCACTCCATTTTTGTCGGAGAAAAGAGTTATCCCCCTCTCCTGCATTTCCCTTTCCCCCTCTCTTCTCCCTCTTCTTCACAAACCGATCCCTAAACCAGCAACAACAACATAAAAATAGCCTTCGCCTCTCCCGTCTCCATCTATTGAACGCGTTGGTGGCAAGACAGGACTGCAGAAGCAAAATTTTCTAAAATTAAACTAAATTTTTTGAAGCAGACTCAACCACGAAAAAAGAGTAAAGCAACAATGCAGTAGAACCCTAAATTTAACTACAATCAAGCACATATCAGCAAGATTTTCGATTTGTCTGAGAGTTAACTACACGGAGAGAACAATTGATGCATAATTGAAATGCTCCAAGCAAGTTGAAGGAAAACGATAACTTTAGAATTTGGTCATTATAATAACCTTCAAGTATTGATGCTTCTAAGAACTATCATGTCCAACCCCCACTTATACAACTACGTAGCCATAGTAATTAGTTGTATAATGAGAAATATTACAAAGAAAACTACATAAACAACCAATGTAAGTAAATATTAAAACTAACAACTAATAAAACTTAAAATCTATTGGTATAAATGTATCTATTAGTAACTACTATGCAATCGAGTATATATGATTTTTAGGCACTGAATAAGAAAAGTATAGATTGCTCACAAATAAAGACGTAGCAACTGAAGGTAGCACACAAAAACCAAAAATAGAAAAAGAGATAAGAAAAAAGGCAAGAAAAAGTCAAACAAAGAAAAAGCCCACATAGGAATACCTCGCTAGCTTTAGGGACTCTGTGCCACAACAAACAACCTTCTTAAAAATCTAACACCCTGAGACATCAAACAAACCTCCCACGACACTAATGTATGGCATTCCTATTGTCCAATAGGTTTGCCCAATTTAGACTTCTAAATAAATGGATATTTCACCATTAAACCAAAACTCACAATCATTAACAGTTAATGCAAAGACATACATTTCTGAGGCCAATCACAGCATTTAAGCATAATTTTTAGTTGAAAAGAACAACTAAGTATTTAGCTAAATGATATAGTAGAATGGACACAATCTGCTACCTACTAATGATATAAACGTGTACCGGTACAATCGCTGTATCCTGACTTGCCATTTGCAACGGGCACTTTGAAAGACAGCTGCATTTTAGAGAATAAACACCCATAAGGGCGTTACGAAACCAAGCTTAATCCAAAATCTTCATATTCCACTTCGAAGACTCCATTTTCAAAAATAAGAGAGTTTAACATGTCAAATCACTCATTTGAAAAATCTCAAACAACTATTAATCAATGCAATATAAAGGCACGTTCCAAATTATGTACTTGTAGGAATAATCCCAAATAATTATCAATTAATGCCCCAACTACCTAATGAGCAGAATAGCCCTGGAGCTGTGCTGTTGTTTGCGTTGGTCTATCTTCAAACATAACATAGTTGCATCACGAACCAAAGCAATTAAGCAAAAATCTTCATATTCCAAGTAGAATGACTCAATTCAATTTGGCCAACGCTTTATACATATTGTTTACCCCTGGACCTGTTGCACTTGCGCCTTCAGATCTTCGTGAACACAATACAATTGCGGAGAGGAGGCTGTCAATGGAATAAAATTGTTAATTAAGTGAATCACCATACAACTAAACAAACGCGCTCTTCTTGATTAGCTATCAAAATAGTGGGGGTCGCTACAATCCATCGGTTGCTCCCTCTGCGCCTAAGTTGTAGATATTAGGTTTCAGTGAGAACTTTGAGTACATGAGGAGATATTTTGTAGTGGAGGAGATGACCCGGCGAGTAGAATAGGAAGATTTGGAGAGGCTGCGATGGGCAAAGCAGTTAAAATCGAGATTTTACCTAAATTGAAAACTGGGGTAAAATCAAAATCGTATAATCGAATCGTAAAATCGTAGGATTTTAAGTACCATATAGAACATAGCATATAAGAATATTAATAAGGTAAATTATTAATATCACAAAGACACATAGCATTTAAAATGATAATTCGGAAGATTTTTTTCCATAAGATAATTCTCAAGATTAATGTTCCAAAATCACTATTTTAATTGTTATTTAATGTGTAACTCAAAATAATTCATGATGACGGGATATAGTTCATGGGTTTGGCTCTTATTTTCATGTTATGTCTAGGTTGTTTAACTCAAAATAATATTTCGACATCGTCTACTAAGTATGATTTAAAACTAAGAATAATTGAATTCCAATAAAATAAGTAATGTTAGTGGCTTGGTACAAATATATTCATTAATAAATTAATTAGTTAATAATGATGTTAGTTCTTACATACTTCCAATATTAGGACAGGTGTTTTACCAATAAGTTAAATGGGGTGAAGGGAAAGAGATTAACCGAACCCTAATTTGGTTATTTTATTATTTTTGAATATTTTTCTAATAGAAAAATATTTGAGAAGATTCCATTGCCCTTTCCGCTGAAACAGTTATACTTATTTTAAATTGGCTCAAACCACCTATTTTGTTCTCTTACGATCAAAATTTCGATTTCGGTACTATTTTACGATTTTAGTCCCGATTTTAAACGATTTTAAGGTCCACCGATTTTATAGTAAAATCAAGATCAGAATCCCTAAGTAAAATCCTAAAATCCTACGATTTTACGATCAAAATCCCGAATTTGACTGCATTGGCGATGGGTGCACGATTAGTGGGCCAAATAACAGTTTGGGCCCGTTTAAATGAAAACATATTTTTACTTTCGTGCTCAACAGACCGACCGCACTGGCATCTTCTAAATTTATCCCTAAAAATTTGCTCTGTACGCATCAAATTTGAAATGGAATCCCTCTTTTCTCATTTCACATTTCACATTTATATGATGTGTAGATTGTGATGAGTGTAGATGTAGACCTGTCATTGTCCTACAAATTCATTAACACGCCAAAAAGTGGTGAAATGAGCCACCCTATTAAACACAATCTTGTATAATGATCATTGGATCCAATCATGCCAGATTATGAAGAAGTTTAAAATGTAGCGGTTATCCCGACTAAAACATTAAAAGAACCAGTCTCATATAGTTTGCACAAAGATATAATTTCTCCATAGTAATTCTGAAAAATAATATTAATTTAAGAAGTCGATATTGCTTCTATATGTTTAATATTGCAATTCGATATGCAATATTCGAACCAGTGATATTTGGGCTGCAATTTTAGGGTTATTGTATATTTATAAAATAGATAGAAATTTAAATTAAGTATTAAACTACAACTAAAATAATCAAAGTATTAAAACACCAAATAAGTACTTACGGGAGATTCAGTGGCCAACTAATCGTTAAAAAAGTCATATGATTTTCATAATTTAGGTTCGTGTATGTTTGAATTTAAATAGATACAACAAATATACTTAGTGTGATTGGTTATGATCCTTGCTTGCCTTTAAAGAGACCAAGGTTCAAATCCCAATGCATGCCTTTTTTATGAATACATAAATAAGAAAATAAGCAATTGTGAAGACTAAAATGTCCTTCCTATAATCACTCTCGTTGCAGGAAATTTGAAATGGAACAACAGTTTTCATCATTCGGCTTTTATTTATTATCTAGACTTATTAATTTTTAGTTACCTGTCGACCGCATCAGTGAAGTGAGTTAGTTCATCTAACGATCCATAAACATCGAAGATGTCGTCGATGAGATAGACAAGTGAAATGGGTTTGGCAAGCTCCACTCTTTCTTCCGATAACTTTGGATCCGTCGAGATGGCCAACGGCCACATGTACCACTTCACTGGTTCGTTCCTTGCATGTGTCAACTCTTCCGCCAACCCTAACTCCTTCCACCATCTATCAATACACCCAAAAGAAAATGTACTAATCGATCTCCTTCAACCTGAACCCTTATATAAGAACTTATAAGTATTGTCGATCGTGCTTACGTAGAAATCTGGACGACTTCTTGTTGGTGCATGGACTGATTCACGTTGAAATCCAACCTAGCTAGATCTATGAGAATGTCTTCTTCATCACTGTGCTTGGTTGAGCCGCCATGGGAGATTCCGAGGTAGCTCTTTACGTTGAATTTGGGCAAGCTTCTGTGGATAGGATGTCTCAGTGTGTAACTTGCTAGGCCAAGAGTAGTGGCTTCATCAGCTGGACCCAGTTGAGCATGTTGATGAGTTGAATAGAGTTCCAACATGTGGGTACTAAACTCTCTTGCTTCGTCAAGAATGCTTTCTCCTTTTGTGGCCCAGTATGATGCTTCGTATAGTTCCATCATTCCCATGATATTGTTCGAGCATCCCATGTTGCTCTCGAACTTGCCTTCCTTGTTTCTGAACTTTTCGAACACATCTTCACCAAACACAAAGTAAGGGAAAAATTAGTCTAAATCTGTTAGGGTTACAAGCTTTGATTGGTACCATTAGCCCCTATGCATGTTTGGTCATGAATTTGAATCTGTGTTGTTGAATTAATGGGTTTCATCCTTATTAGTACTATATAGTAGTTCAAAAAGTGTCATTCCAAATTTCACACAACCTTATCGTGCATTATATTTTACTTTCGTATCAAATCTAAGGTGTGTTGAACGTGATTAGGTATCCATGTATTAACCCTGATATAGAAAATGAATGGATTCGTGTTTTGTACCTGAAGGAATGCGATAACCCTGGTGTCTTAGCAGTCGAAAGCGCAGTGAAGTCTCTAAAAGGTCACGACATCGAGTACTACTATCATTATCGAAAACAGAAAATTTCATCGCCTCCTTCCCCTCCTCGCGCTTCAAAACCTTGTCGATCTCTTCCTCAAAGTGGTGGTCGAGACCCAACCGTTGGAGCGCATCGATCATCACTAGGGTTTTCGTTGAATCCCCGTCTACTTCAACTAACTCTTCAATTTGCTTGAACCTAGCTCTTGCTTCTGCTAGTGTCTTAGTATGCCTCTCCATCATCATGTCGATGCCATCCTGCCAAACCTGAAGAAATTGAAGAAAAAATTATCTTTCTTGCTTGAAATGAACACTTGTATAAAAATAGAAGGAAAAAAACCCCCCCTCCAAGGTGAAGGATGCTTAACTGTAGTTTGGCCGCCACTAGCCATGTCCAGGATTCTTGAGGTTTGAAGAATATTAGCATGGTGCTGATGAGCTTTTGGCAATGACATGCAGCCTCTGGGATTAGCAATAATTAGCTGCACCGCCGGCGGATTAGCACTAATATTGCTGTGTTTAGATGAGTGATTATCAGTAGTAATCTTAGGGCAAGAGGAAGGCAGTAAAGAACTGTTTGAGAAGGCCATCTTGATGATAAAAGGAATGGGTTGGATGGATGGATCATAATTATGGGAGAGGAGACTACTCTACATTTATATATAGGACTATTGGGGAGGAGGCACTCTTTCTCTTTCTTTAAGGTAATAAAAAATGCTGCGTGAAGTCGTGTTTTGTGAAGGGGCCACGTGGCTGAGGTTTTGGACTGTTACGTGTTCAGTTTGGAAAATGGGGGTTTCTTAAAATTAGTGTAGGGGTCGTTTGGAAGCTGCGATTGTTAGTGTTGTATTTCTTAAATACATACATTATCCGCAATACAACGTTTGGAAGTGTCAAGTTGCAAAACAATGCATGTATTGTTTTGTGTGGGTCCCACCAACAATCAACAAAAATGAGAGATTGTACAATCTCAACTAAAAGTTGAGATTGTTGTGATTGTTGGTTTAATAATTGAGCACCTTTACTTTTTCCAATTATGTCCATAGTTCTTTTTGTTTTATATTAAAAGTGGAGGACAAATATGACATTTCCTTATAAAGTAACTTTATAACAATTAATTCATAAATTATAATCTCAACAACCAAACAATGTAATTTCAAAATGCATCTATTGTATCAATGCATGCATTTATATCATAGTGATTCATAACAATACAACGATTTAACATACGCAACTTCCAAACGACCCCGTAGAATAAGCTGCTAGTTGTCGTGATTTACTTGCATATAAACTATTTAAGACGGTTAGCGATGAAAATAGAGATACTCTTTCTCTTTCAGTTACATACAATATTGTAAAATCTGTTTGTATCGTTGTGCCATTTTAACAAGTAGAATGATAGTGGTATAATCGATTTATGTCGGTTCATGCTGGTGTAACAAAATATATAAAAATATGAAGATCATTAAGAATTTAATCATATATAAAATATATTTGTGGACTATTTACTTACAATCCAACCAATAACATCAAATTTTGATTTTTAAATCATGAAATAAATGATAAATTAATTTTTATTATTAATTGCATTTACTAAAACGACATCATTTTGCTTAATATGCATAAGTCGATCATGCTGGTCATATCGGGGTTGTTCACGCTGGTTTCATGACCGATATTGATTGAATCTTGTTCGACCGACATCGATAGAACCTGGTTCAATCTACCAAAATGCCACCAATATGACAACCATGGTTACATATGCATCCAAGACAAAACAAAGATATATCGGACAGTATAGTTTGGTTGAATTGGTGACCTCCAATGTATTGATCGTGGTATTCTATTTGTATAATACAATTGAATAGGTGTTTTTTTTTTTAACTTTAACAAAAATAATTTTATATTGATTGAGTTAAATTTTATACCGCTACATGTCTACATCTATTCCGCTAAACTGTTATCATAAAGAAGTACTTTTTTATATATAAGGGGACAATTTCTTTTTTTAGTTAGATAATAATTAAAATATTTAAATTTGTAACCTTCAGATTTCAGACAAGTTACATTGCCAAGCCAAACACGTTATTTCTTTGTAATTTCTAAATGAAGGGATAAAAGTATATATCTTCAAAGTTTCTCGATTTGTCAAGTAGAACACCTTAAAAGTTAAAAGCAAGACAAAAGGCAAAGCCATCCACCAACAAGAAAAAAGCATAAAGTCGAGTGATCATGGATCTTAGCTGCTGACTGCTCTATTATTCATTCCAATTCCTTGTATCTCATCGCCAACAGTGGAATATCTACCAGAGTCGAAAGAAGAAGAGGGAAAAAATGGAGGAAAACGATGCATCAGCCGTGACAACTTATGTGCCAATGTGACCAGCTGGGATCTCTTTTGCAAGGACAGACTTGTTCGGCCACCTGTCTATCTACGTGTGCCAAGCCTTCACCACTCATCTTTTTGGTGGCTAAGTTCTACTGTCCTTTCAATGGGTTTTATGAGGTTTGGCCGGTAAATAGGAAGGCAATAAAGAAAGGATTGAGAAGGCCATCAAGATCTTGATGATAAAGGTTAGGATGGATATAAAACATGATAATAGGAGGAGAACTCTACATTTGAAGGACTATTAGGATGTTTTATCTAATAGGTTGTTTTCTTCATGGGCAACAAATTTGTGGAATTTACAGATTTTAAGGGTCCAAATTTGTTGGGCTGGCGAACTTGAAAATCCCACCCATCAAAGTGGGAATTGGTTATGGACTTGAAGTCCATCATATGTGACCAACATGTCCCTCTTAATTTTTTCTCTTATCATACCAATTAGGGAAGTATGATCAATTTCACTGCACATATATATAACATCTACAAAAACAAAAAGGGTGTTTTTCAAGTTCATAATGAACTCAAAACCCTCGTATATTCAGAGTTTTCAAAACTAAAATTTTATCAAAATCTTCATTTTTCAAAAGCAAACTACAATAACTTCTTTTGTGGAAATCCTATAAATTGATGACATTCACGGAGTCTTTCTAAAGGTAATAAAATTACTAATGCGTCAAATATAATCGTGTCTGCCAAAGGTAACATAACCTAGCGGTGAAACCACTGGACCAATTAAGCTCTGGATGTGGGAGGTTCTGAGTTAGATTCCCAGTGGCGCCACTTGAACGTTCCCGGCGGCACCCTTGGTATCGGAGGCGAAGCCTCCCCGATGTTGGTAGCAGAAAGCCCCGGTTAGTATGCAGGTTCCCCAGTGGTTTAGTAGGTCCCGCTGTTGCTTAAGCAGCATGTGGGACTGAGATTCCCTGGGTTATAAAAAATTTAAAAAAATATAATTGTGTCTCATGGAGGGGCCACGTGGCTGAGTTTCTAGATGTTACGTGTATAGTTTAGAAAATAGAATTCCTCATTTAATTACACAATTAACGAGATACTTGTTGACTAAAGTGATCCAAGTCGATATAAACAACGTAATAGTTAAGATGATTTGGTGGGAATGGAGAAATTTGTTACGCTATGATACACATATATATTTAAGACAAATTAAAGATGTACCACTTGGTAGAAAGTGATCGAATCAGAAACCTACAATACATTGGTTAATTTTGGTTAGTATTCGACTTGTAGTAGATTTTTTTATTTATTTTTTTTATTTTGACAAATTATCTTATACAAAATGCTATTGTTTGAACTAGGGTGGCTATACGGTCTGGTCCGGTTAAATTGGACCAAATTGATCCGGTCTCAGTCCGGTCTTTTCGGGAATATAAGGACCAAAGATTGGATTGGATACAATCCGGTCTTGACCCGGTCCGGTCCCAATTTAATCTTGATTTCAGGTGTTGGGGGTCTCTTATCCGGGTTTTTTTTACCTCAAATCTAAGCCCGAATATGAGATTGGATTGTTTGCTATCCGGTCCCAGTCCGGTTCCGGTCCAGGTTATACGGTTCGGTTTCGGGTAAAACCAAACAATCCGAACCAAATAGCCAGCCCTAGTTTGAACCACGATTATACGGTAGATGATATTGATACATGAGAAACCCATTTCTTTCTAAGTGAATGGGCAAACTAACTACAAAGTTGTCCGATTTGTCAAATAAAACACATTAAAAACAACAAAACAACACAAAAGATAGCTGGAAAAGGAAAAACTTCCAACAACATGAAAAAGGCATAACGAAAAAGTCACAAATCAATTGGTAATGGCTCTAAGGTGCTGACCGCTCTATTATTCATTACTTTCTCGTATCTCATCGCCAACAGAGGAATATCTACAAGCAGCAACTCAAAAGAAAGAAGGAAAAGTAAAAAAGAAGAGGAAAACGATGCATCATTCATAACCATGTTGCTGGACGTTATTGGGTCCAGCCACGAGTGGAATCATCATCACTTATTTCCAAGAATGCGAATATGAGATATAACGAAGGTGATTGTTTGTTATGTTCGACTTAACTTTTCATTTATGAGATATTTTCTCTCATTAACATTTCTTCTCAGTAAATTGAGTTGACATGAACTTGTTCAAGATTATAATTTATATTGTTTTTTATACCTATTCTGAAATGACACCCTAATGAGTTTGGAGATGGTACAAACTACAAACTCACATACGTTTGTGCTTCAAACAACATTTCTTCTCGAAAACTATTGGCCCCTGTATTATCTTTCTGTAGTGTACAGCTTTTTAGCTCCAATTTGCAACATATTTGGTACATCTCTTACTCCAATGCCATAACCACTCACTTGTCACTTGGGAGTACAGAGAAAACAATGAGTTTTAACATAAAGATCAGAGTGGCGCAGCGGAAGTGTGGTGGGCCCATAACCCACAGGCCCCTGGATCGAAACCAGGCTCTGATATTTAAAATATTGTTTTTTAACTATGGTGGTATTTTCCCCCATTATTTGAGAAATGGAATTTTTATTTTACAACATGCCAATGTAACAAAGTAAATATGTATCAAATGGGGATGCTTTCAAAAAGCATCGCATTGATATGGTCCTTGAGCTTTGGAAGTTTCCGATCTTGACCAGCATCATCATCGTCACATCCATACATCAAAGGCACCATTTTTGCAGAATTATGAGCTGCCCTGTTGAAAACTAATGGAAATGGCGTTGGAGATAGAAGTTCATGGTTGAGTTGCTTCCATGTCTCTTCAATCATTCTCATCACATGCTCCCGAGCTTCATGAATCGAAGATTGAGGATTCTCCAGCATGTAGAAATAGACGTAGGATCCGTCTTCCCCATCATATTCCTCGTTCTACACACAATTAGTTTTAATATGCATTAGATTTGGTAAATATGAAAGTAAGTACTGTATATTCAAACTTTATTCTACAAACTATGTGTTACCGTGGCAGAGAGGTCATCCCACAGCCGGAGAATTTTGGCGACGGAAGAGATCACCGGTGGATCGTCGCCACTGACGAGGTCCACATTGCTTTGGGCCAGGCCCTGGCCCAAAAGGAAGAAGAGGTGAACCAGAACAACTTGGACCCCAGAGCTCACTATTCCATTCTTCAAGTACTCTTCCGCACTTGGCCACTCTCCTCCCTTCAACCACATGGCTTCCACTAGAAATGCCTTGAAAAGTTTCGCCCACTACAAAATCCAAATGGTGAATTGAAAGATGAAAAAATATGTTCATGTACAAAGTATACTGAAAATCTTATTTTTTCTCTTGATCTGACTTCATTATACGTAATATTGGTTCCATCATATCATGAATGACTGATTCAGTGATGCATTGTAAAACGAGACGATATGAAAAAATTAAGAATCAAATTTAGAAGTCGATAATGAGTCGTTGTTTACGTACTGCTTGTCGTAGGGAGTGCACTGGGTTCCATCCATGTCTATTGTACACTTTGTACCCTATATCATTGGTGACCTTGTGGAGAGATGTGAAGCATTTCATCATATAATTGGGCAATTGGTCTGCCGATGCAATGTCCCACCTGTACAAGCACACAAATTCCATCATGGACAATGTCTTATGAGATCATCAATAATAAGAATATAAGATTGGCGAATCCTTAAAAGCGATTCTTAATGTGCTTTATTTATCCCAATACTAAGTTTAGGGTTCAGCATTCAAATGTGATACATAAGTCTGTTCATGTCCACATCGTTATAATTAGATTCTAGCTAATACGTATGTTCAATATACTTCAGATCATCGGTAAATGACCTAGCTACATACGTACCTATCAATGATTTCTGTGAAGAGAGTTAGTTGATCTAGAGATCCATAAACATCAAAGATATCGTCGATGAGGTACACGAACGAAATCGGTTTGGCAAGGTCCACCCTTTCTTCTGACAGTTTCGGATCCGTCAGAATTGCCAAAGGCCACATGTACCACTTGATTGGCTCATTCCTTGCATATTCCAACCCATCCGCCAACCCTAGCTCCTCCCACCATCTGCCCATGGAAAGCCAGACCTCAACCAACAGAAAATTCATCATGAATAAAAAACCACGCAAAGAATGTAAAAATACCCTAGCTACTTACTCAAACACCTGCACAACCTCTTGCTGGCAGATGGATTGATTCACATTGAAATCCAATCTCGCTAGATCCATGAGTGTGTCTTCGAAGTGCTTGGTCGAGCCATGGAAAATGGTGATGTAGTTCTTGACGTGGAATTTGGGTAAGCTTCTGTGGAGAGGATGCCTCAATGTGTAGTCTGCAAGGGGATCAGTGGGTGGTGGATCCAACTTGTGGGCACAGAATTTCCCTGCTTCGTCCAATATGGTACTTTCCCCTTCTGTGGCCCAATATGATGCTTCGTATAGTTCTATCAGTCCCACGATGTCTTGTCCCAATTTGCTCTCCCACTTGCCTTCCTTGTTTATGAACTTTTGGAACACATCTTTACCAAGAGATGGAACAGAATAAAAAGTTAGTTTAGTCTGTCAAGGTTAGAGGTTTGTATACAGGGTTTGGTCGAATGATATTACCTTTGATCTCTATCTGACATGTCACACACATTGAATTTCTTAAGTAGCACCCAATGATAAGAACTAATCTATACCTCTTTAAAAAAAAAATCTTTTATTTTGTTTTGATGGGTAACATACATGTATTTTGTAGCAAAAATCACTTATCACATCACAATAAATTATGCATCAAATATAATTTAGGACTAGTATTTAATATTTAGCAACTAATTCACTACCAAAAAAAAAATATGTTTAGCAACTAACGGAAACTGTCGCAATAGACACAATGTTGTGGTCACACTATAGGGGTGTGCAATGATCTGGTCCGTGCTAACCATAAGAAACATGTTACCACATAAAAATTTAGTTTATCCAAACTTAAAGTTTAAACTACGATAAGAAAAATAATGCCTAGTTTTCATACCTATAGAAGTGCGATAACCTTGTTGTCTAAGCAATCGAAAGCGCAAGGAGGTCTCGAAAAGGTCATGGCTTGGACCAGTATCATTGTACTGGCGTTTCAATATTGCCTCGATCTCTTCCTCGAAGTGGTGGTCGAGGCCTAACCGTTGTAGTGCATCGATCATTCTCAAAATTTTCATAGAGTTCCCTTCTTCTTGATCTTCTGCCTCTTCCTCCATTTGATTGAACATAAACTTCACTTCTGCTAGTTTCTGAGCATGCTTGTCAATGTTGCTAACGTCATCCTGCATATATATAATTCAAAACCTAAACATGTATCAATACTTTTCCCCAATACAATGAACAACTCTATGTTGTCAATAGAGGTGGCAAATGGATTTGATCCATAAATCAAATCAAATGCATGGGATCATGAATTCAAGCGACATCTAAATATTGAAACAATATGTAAATTTTGAAAAGTTTAGATACTAAAATGTCATAATAAAAAGTTTTAGGAACAAAATTATAAACCATACAAAATATAGGTACTAAACTATAATTTTTCAACAATCTATAAATCCAATCCATCCACTTAAATATCCAACGAAACCAAATACCAACGGACACATATGAAGATACAAGCATTATTACCTTGATCGGCGAGAAATTAACGAAACTAAAATGAAGGCCGGATTGATTCTTACCGTAAATGCAGCACTGAACATCTCCCAACAACTTGAGTTAATAAGATCAACCGGTTCTTGACAACTGTTAGCCGGAATGATCGTCACTGGATCTTCTACAACGGTATGGTTCTGACCAGCTGGCGGCGTCGATAATGATGAGATTTGTTGCACCTTGAGATCAGTGATTAGCAGCTGTGGCCCCAGAGGATTATAGAACTACTGATAAGCTGCTATCTGAGCCGTAATGAGTCATTTTCGGGGCCAAAATTAAGGAAACTAATTACAAAGAACGATTTGAGAAAGCTAGGGTATTAGTATGGCTCATCAAAGGATATGGGGATTCCTCCCTTTATATAGGATATAGTTGGTTGGGGAAACATCTGTGCCAGATGGAGTTAGGCTTAGGCTTAGGCATATGCATGTCGTTTCTAAGTTGTTTTGAAGAGTAAAATATATACTTGTTTTACACATTTGTTTGTACGACTACTCTTGACGAAGTGACGAGGTTTCCTCCCATTTTTGTGGCGTTTGGTGGTTGGCCTAGTGGGGAATCTTTCATTCATTCACGAGCATGGAAAATGGAATGGAAGAAGTAGGGCATCTTTCTTTCAAACGATCGACAAGCACCTATCGTACCTCGGCCAACACCCTTCACTACTACGATGTGGGTCATACACGCATGTGGTCTGATAAAAAGATGGTATGTTTTGCCGCCCGAGGTTGATAAATCACTATCGTGATGTAGTCAAAAGCGAGTTTCTGTGTAGAAACGTTTTGGTGATTTAGAAGCATAAAATCGTAAGTTTTTAAGTTCTAAAGCGGAGTTTTTAACTACATAAGTTATAAAAACTGAGATTTTGTGTGAAAACATTTTAGTGATCTAGAAATGTAAAATCGTAAGTTTTTAAGTTTTAAAGCGCGATTTTGACTACATTATAGTACGAGAACCAAAACCGTACCACTTGTTGATATCGGAGTACAGGGGCGGAGCCAGGATTTCGAGACCGGGGGGCCAAAAATAATTAAACAAAGTGTATGTAGCCAAGTCGGATCAAACGCATGTACTTTAAAACTCAAGTCAAGCTTGGCTACCATTAGACCACATAACTATTTAACAACAAAATTTACAGAACAAGTTCTAATTGTAAAATTTATACTAAATATCCTTGCGATCCTAGGGGCTGGGACCAATCCCGGGGGCACCCTAGCTTGAGTGTAGCTCACCCCCTACTGGAGTACCCAAAATGGTAGCCGGTTTTAGCGGTAGGAAATCGTTAAACTACGATTAAAATTACTATTTTAATACAAAATATTTTGACACCAATTTTTTTTTATATAACCTCTCTGATATGATTTCAACAATCCTTACTCTTAACAAACGCAATACAAAATACTTTGGCACCAAATTTTCTGATATAACCTCAACAATCCTTACTCTTAATTAACAAACGAGCCATTTTAAGTTTTAACAACCTCGTGGAACGAATAGTTAGATGTTGCGCATGGCCGGTCCTTATCAACGAGTTGTTAAGCCATACATATTTAGCAGTCTCTTATTCAAATACTAATAACCCAACATCTACAATGCAAAGTTGATTACATAACACCTAACTCAATTAGTCCAGTGATATTATCACTGGTTTTGAAGCTGCATGCAAACCTATATAGCTCATATAAAAAAAAAAATTGGCATTTTCAAAGCAGAAAATGCTAATGGGAATGCTTCGATCAAACAGAAGCAGGCTGGATATTCTACTCCTGGAGACTTGGAAGACTATTGACATTAGATTCCTGATCATCACCTTCAAATCCAATTTCATACATCAAAGGAACCATTTTGGCAGAATCTACGACGACCTTCATGAAACCCGTGGGGAAAGGTATCGCAGGAGACAGATACTCATAGTTCAGTTGCTTCCACGTGTCCTCAATCATGTCCACCACGTGCTTCCTAGCTTCATGCACCGACAAACCAGGATTCTCCTTCAAGTAGCAGTCCACGTACGAGCCGTCGTATCCAACGTCTTCCTCGTACTGCAATAATCAATTTCATAATCGTACGTACCCAAAAGGAAAACATATGTTTGAGATATAAAAAAAAAAAATCGATCGATCTATTTTGCTTAATTACCATGGATGAAAGGTCGTCGGAGAGGCGCATAATTTTGGCGACGGGTGATATCAATGGCGGTTCGTCGCTATCCACTAGGCGCACGTTTTCTTCTGTTAGGCCCGTGCCCAACATGTAGAAGAAGTGAACCAGCATCAACGGGGCTCCAGAAGTCACCATTCCAGTCCTCAAGTATTCATCTGATTTTGGGCACTCTCCTGTTCTCAACCATCTGGCTTCGACTAGAAATGCTTCGAACAATTTTCCCCACTACGTACAAAATCGAATAAATAATATTGATCTAGGGATAATGAAGAGAGATAATTTCCATCCGCCTCGTGTACTTACCGCTCGTTTAAGCGAGTTTATGGGATTCCATCCATGTTTTCTGTGAACTTGGCATCCGATCTGATTAGTCGTACGATAGAGAACCATGAAGCACGATCTCATGCACTCTGGTAATTTGTCTATTGTATCTGTATCCCATCTACACATGCAATAATACACGAAAGACATCTCTTCAACCTCCAAATAAATCGACAACAGTGGGTTCACGTTGTACAATATCCTTTTTTTTACATATGAACATATTACCTGGTTATCGCTTCTGTGAAGAGTGCGAGGTCGTCAAGCGAACCGTACATGTCGAAGATGTCGTTGATTAGGTACACAATGGAAATTATTTTGGCGAGCTCCACCCTGTACTCCGCGAGTTTGGAGCCCCTGAGGGTTGCCATAGGCCATGCGCTAGCTTTAGCCAACAGTTGATCTCGCCCAACACTCGTCCCCAAACCAACCTCATCCCACCACCTGCTTAATTCGAGTTCATGAGTTATGATGAAACATGAGTGATCTCTTTGCGAAAACCAATTTAACGTTGACCAGACTCACTCATCGAATTGACATTTCTCAAAACTATATGACTTGTCCAACATGCAAGTCAACTACAGGGTTTGATCGTTAAATAGCTTATGTGTCAATTAAAAAAAAATTAAAAATTATTTTTAATTTTCACGTTAGAAAAAATCTAATAAATATATTTTTTTTTATGTTTCCGCTTTGCGCTTCTGACTTTGAGAAATGTCATATATCCTAATTATGAGAAATTGAATATTTAAACACACTCATATAACATAAATATTCTGATGTTCAATTTAGAATTCTAGACCAAGGGGAAAACAGGAAAACAACCGAATTTTGCAACCAAAGGGAAAAACGAGGCCATGTGACTTCCAACCAGAGAGCCTTGATGTGGTCGACCCGCGAGTATGTTGTACCCGTTTTTCCTCATCGGGTCAGGATCAAAACGTGTCAACCCACAGGTTGACAAACTTGACTAGAGATGTGGTAAATTTTATAAAAATGAGAAAAATACTATACGACTAAATTTAGTGAATGAGTCAACCCACAGGTTGACTCACTCATCAATAACAAAACTATATGACTTCGAATTGACGATAAATAACCAGATTTCAAGTCACGGGAACATTGCACATAATGATAATAATTTTTTTTGTTGAATACATAATGATAATATTATAAATAACTATTGCTAATTAATTATAGCTACTGAAGTTTAAGAGTGTAAGGATGTGTTCGAAGAAATCTTAATGAAAGAGTAAATGTTAATCCTATCACAAACAAACACAGCGAATCAACTTAAACTAAATTTTATATATGTTGTCGAAATGAATAAAAAGATAATGAAAATAAATAAAGTCTGTCACACTACTTGTGAGCCTGTGGCTACTGGCTAGCCCTCTGCTTATTGTCTAATTTGAATTAACAACATTATCATAACTAGCCATCTTTCATGATTTATTTGTTTTTTTAATTCATTTACTTTATTTCTCATTAATTATGTACGTAGCTCAGTGATAATAAATTAATTACCTGGAAAGCTGGTCAAGTTCTTTCTGATGCACCGCCTGGTTCATTTTGAGATCCAACTTCGCCAGATCCTTGAGAGTCTCCACATAGCGACTCTGCTTCTTGCTTGTAATCGTTCCCCCAAAGCTGCTCAGGTAGTCTTTAATCACCAGCCTTGGTATGCTCCTGTGGTAAGGATGTTTCAGCGCATTGGCGACGGCTTCTTCTGTCGCCAATAGTCCCATGATATCATTAACGACGGAATAATATTGCGACAGGTTGGGGCTTATCCATGAACGTAGCCGATGGGCACTGAATTCCCCAGCTTCATGCAGTATATCTTCCCCAGGTGCCATCCACTGGGAAGCTTCGTACAGTTGAATTAGTGCTTGCACGTTTTGATGACCTAATAGCCTGGGCTGGAACTTCCCCTCTTGATTCTTGAATTTGTTAAACACATCTAAAACACACAACCACGTTGCAACTGGCCGTGTTAAGTGACGAGATTACATTTAATTTTTCAATTATCCAACCATTAGGAATGGTAATGGGAAGTTTAAAGTGGGTATCTCCATACATGTTAGGATATGACTTGAATTTGATTTGGGTTTGTTTTGTGTTTTAGGCCTATTCTGTTTGGGTTTGGGATTGGGTTTTGTTTTGACCTTTTCCTTGTATGTTTGGGAAAAAGGTATTTTGTTTTCTGTTTGGGATTAGAAGAAGAGTTCTATAAATACTCTTTATCACCCTAGTCTGTAGTGAGGTCAGTCGGGTTAGTTTGTTTGGTTTGTCCGTCTGGAATTTGGTTTGTAACCTGTACTCTCTCAAATTAGTGAAATTTGTTCTCCCCTGCCCGTGAATTAGCTAGCACACATTGTGTTAGTGAACCACGTTAAATTTGTGTTCGTTCGTGTTGGTTTAGATTATCGATTGCACGCTTCTGTTTTGACAATACATATATCTATTTCATGACAAGTCATCAGATCCAAATTGAGTATTATGTTTTGCAATGGGTTGATAGGTCGATTCATAAATGTTTTTTAAAGGCGGAATATTTGAACTATTGACTTTTTTCCTTCAAAAAACCCAAGAAGAAAACTATAGCAAAGTAAATGCAAATAAATTATTTGAGAGAATTGAATACCTGAACGTAAAAAATCTCAGAGATTTGATTAAAATTACATATTAATTAAACAAAACTTATCAAGAATGGGCACGTTAGAATGAGTTAGATCAGGGATATGACCGTCCAACCTCACCTGCATGATGAGTATTATCCGTTCATAACAAATCAAACAAATTGAATAGAATAAACCAATTCGACCCACCATACACAATTTGTCGATTCTAATAATATTTGGCATTCTTTATGCACCACAGTCCAACCCTCCCTGGATCCAAAGTTTGTATACTACTTGTAAATTTTTTATTTTTGGTATATATTCAGTTTTTATTGAGTTACTGTTCAGTGCTCTAATCTGTCCTGGATTCGCCGCTTTAGTTTTCTAGGATTAAGAAAAATCTAGAATGCTAGACTACTATGGGATGTTGAGACTGAGACCCTTACCTGAAGAGATGTGATGACCTTGCTGCCTTAACAAGCGAAACATCAAGGAAACCTCGAAAAGCCCATCTTCTCGCCGCCGGTCGGCGGCCGCCGTGGCACAGAACTCATCATGAAGAACGGCTTCAATGGTTTCCTGGAAGTGGTAGTCGATCCCCAGCCGCTGCACCGCATCGATCAGTACCAAGGTCTCGACGGGACATGACATCAACACTCGATCATCTCTCGCCACCGATGGCCTCCTCGCGAACAGATGCTTTGCCTCTTTCAGCTTCCGATCATGTTTTCCCCCCAGGCAGCACTGCACCATCAATGGCTTGTTTTTGCGACCGAATGGCGAGGCGAAAGAAGTGCTCGAAAAAGGATGGAGGATCGTTGAGAAGGCTGCCATCGCCATGATGTATAGATGACCGGAGGATTGTTTTTATTTACTGGTAAAGAATGGAGAAGCCAGTTCAGCACGAGAGAGGAAGTGGTAGCTAGAAGAACTGTAAAATAACTCGGGGTGAAGGCAAGTTGCTCGTTAGAGTTTTTGGACGGCTCTGAAATACAATGTTGTCTTGTTGTATACTTTTCTCATTGATGCATGTGCATTCTATTTATATAACACAAGTGGTGCTAGTTTACGTAGTTATAATATACTAGTATCCTTGCCCGCGCTCCGCGTCGGGATATGAATTATATTTAAGTTTATTCAAATGAAATAAAAAAATTTGATTTTATTGATATTAAAAAAAGAAAATGTAAATAAATGTTTAACTGTTTGCATATCTTCGTCTGGTTAGCATTACCATTTCTAATTATGTGGTTAAATAGTATTTAGAATCAAATTTTGTAATTTTTAGTATTTAACTCTATTTTAGAATCAAATTTTTCAAACACTAATTGTTAAAAGCCACCCTCGGCCATTTGTACAGAATGACATAAACAATTGTCCATTTATACTTGTGAGCCCATTGTTTATATGGGCCTGTAAATAAATGGAACGATCATCCATATGTCGTTTTGGGAACAAACAGGTTTTGGCTTGTTTTTTCCATTTTGGCAGATCAATCATTGAACTTCTAAAATTTGGATGAAGAACACCAAGAACCACCACTAAAATTCCCAGAATTCTCTTGCTAAAAAAAAAAATCCCAGAATTCAAAGTGGGATATAGCTTCGTAAGATTTTGGGATCCAAGTTGCAATCAGAATATAATATGTCATGTTACACTCTCAAAGTCCCATGTGTGACTTGTAATGAAGTCAGATCATGTAGGCCAACAAAGCTCCAAGATGTGACCCATGTATGAAATGATGGAAGTCACTAATTATCTAAAGCATTTCACGCAGATGCTTGTGAAAGTTGATGATCTCCTTTGTAAGATATAAAATGAAATGCTTATAGATTTATGTAAATAGCCAGTTGTAAGGATAATTATTTACTTATAATGAAACCAAGTTCACCCATTAGTTTGTACAGGGCAAAAGTTGAGATTATCACAAAGAACTAAAAGTTTGTCATCTAGAAGACAACAGAGGACTATCATCACTGTCGCCTTATATAAAACATGAACAGGCTGCATTATGCATGACATTCGAACGCTGCTCCAAAAGTGTACTTGTCCTGCCTGCACACCATTGGATAGACAAAATCTGTAATTCAGAAGACCAAAGATGATTAAAATTTATGTGAATTACTATCACAGGAGACAAAGGAAGGTAGCAATTAGTTATGTTATACAAATATACTTACATATGTGTTGTGTTGTGCTGTTGTGTTCATGAACACAACTTAGACAAAATAACAGACATACTGAAAATGCAAGCAACTTGAATTTTGCTACATAATACCAAGATCTGATCTCACGTGATCTTTTATCTGAGTGGATCCTGAAATGAAAGAGCATGTATGTCCTCGTGTTTAGGTGTACTGGCAGATTGAAAAACATTGTGTGATTTTAATGTAAATAACATGAAACGGCTCAACATCAATGTCTTTTTCAGCTATGTTACAGGTGTGAAATGCTGACCCGATTTGTGCTGATGTCTTCAAAAGCTTCAGTAAAGACAATATTTCTGGTGTAGTTAGCTGGAATACCATCTGTGTTGACAATAAGAAAGTGTAAACCGTCTGCAGATCTCACCCTCGAAACAACAACATACAATTGGCCATGACTGAAGACAGGTTCTGGTAGATAAACTCCTACTTTCTCAAGAGTCTGACCTTGACTTTTATTTATAGTCATTGCATAACAAAGACGTACTGGAAACTGACGTCTTTTAAGTATGAATGGCCACCTCTTGTCTTCGACATTTAGCACAATCCTAGGGATGATAACACTTGTGATTCGTTTGAGTCCTTCATCTTTGTGGTCCACTATGATGTCTCTATCCTTTCTATCTGGAACGAAATCTCCCGGAATCAGAGCTGCTACATCACTACTTGTCGGCAGATCATACTGTCGATTTCTGCTTTCTATACCAAATATTCTAAGTCGAAGATTTGGAGTGGATGTTTGCTGCAGCTCTTGTCTAATCCTCCTGAAAGTCTTCACCAACTCATTTGTCTCATCAAGCATCCTCAACAATGATGCCAACAGCTCAGGCAAAAGTAATGTCTCCCGAGATGCAAAATTGGCCAATCTATTATCCAACTCATTTTCAGGTTCAAATATATATAACTGGGCAAATTTTGGTTTCTCTCCATCTATTGGAAGCAATGAACCAATCCTGTGATAATTTTCCCCGCAAATAACCATGGAATAAGGGCCTCTACTTGTTAAAGACCGAGGGTCCAGTTTGGCTCCAAAAGACGTAAAACATAAGGCTCCATTGTATGGGCGTATGTTATCCCTAAAATGCTTGGACATCGGTCCTCCATTAAGATCCAACAACTGTGCTAGCAATGGAGGAGGTTGCTTTAAGAGAGGGAGATTGACCTTTCCTTTTTGACAACACAACCCATAAATTGGCTTACTTGTATTTCTCTGACGATTTAATCTCTCATGGTACCAAAAAAGAGCCCCACAGTATTGACATATGCATTCTGGTCTCCCAATATTCAGGACATCACTGCATAGTGGCCTTCGTGCTGGAACAATGTTTCCACTTAAGTTACCAGCAGAGCAAGAATCATCGAACCCTGAAATGTCTGAGTTTATTTGGTAAGGATCCTGGACAGTTTGTATGGAATTATGAAAGGAAACAGATCCTTCCCTAGCACCAGTAGCATTCATAGGAGGTGGAACCCTGCTCCTTTTGTGTTTCAATGTTGCATAAGCTGCTGGTCGTTTTCTCTTTGGCGGCATTCTTGCTGTCATTATATATACAAACACAGACACACAATAAATTATTTTAACAATCCTGAATCATAAATGAAACCCTGAAACAAACAGAGAAATGGAATATATTTGACCAGTCTGTTTTCTTTAGTCAATCAGTAAGCAACATCATTCCCAAGAGCTTCAGAGGTTTAATGAGAAAGATGCTTAGTAAATCTCTGTTGTATCTATTACAGATAAAGTAAAACCATAAAGGCACACATACATAATAAATGAACACAGCAACCTTGAATCATAAATGATAACCATCAGAAGACAAAGAAACGAAAAACATGTCACCAACCTATTTCCTCCAGTCAATCAACAGGTAATAAAAATTCTGAAAGATGCAGAGGATCAATGGAAACAACTGCTCCACAGATCTTTGCTGAAAAAGTTGCAGGGTTAGTTGCAGCACCACAGCTCTGTTCTCAAAGATGAAACTCTGATAAGGAAGAGAGTTTCTATAGATAATAAGTAGGTTATCATAAAAGTGATCAACCATTAGATAATATATTAACTAAGCATTAGTACATTAGGTAATCATTACAATGATTCTTGATATTGTTTGACAAACATCAGAAGCTGAAAGTGCATTAAATGCATGGGGTTTTAATTGTTGATGGCTGACAAATGAAGTGAAAGAAATTGGATGTCAGTTGAATTAGACAGAAACCAACAGCTGGCCATGGAGATCTTATCAGATATATACATGTATGTGTATGTATGTGAACATTGCAATTAATTATACATTTACCCAAGCTAACAATTATAAAGGCTAGAAAATGCATGAGTTTGTCTCATCTGTACAATAGAACTATAATTAAATGATAATAAAAGTGCACAATTTGGCCAATATCAGTCAGAGCCTCCCATATTAAGACTATCAAATTCACTTCATGTCTGCAACTTTAGATGCTGATTTTGTTGAGTTGCTGAGGTAAAACCAGTAGGAGCTATCTTGTTCAAGTTTAAACGATAAATTCAGTTGATCAGGAGTGCTCAATGGTTACATTGTCTTGAATTGGTTTTGTTGATAGTTGTTGGTAGCATATAATGTATATGCTCCAACGTATAAGCTGCAATTGCAGAAGCTGCGAACATGACCATTCTCTTTAAAGTCAATTCAAACAGGGAAAAAGTTGTTTAAGAAGTTTAAATAATTAATCATTCTGTATGGAGTTAACATAAAATGAAGAACATAATAATGATGCAGATCTAAGTAACCTGAGAACCAAAATATCAAGGCATGCAAATCCTAAATGAAGCACAAATATTATAAGGCATCCATCTCAGTAGCTATTATGGGTTTTGGACAAAGTCTACATTTCAATATCCAAAGGCACAAGGCTTAACAAAACACTGCAATTTTAAGTCTAGGAAGAAGCAATTCACATAATTTACATAAAACACACATGGGTCCATAAAGAAACCTACATAACTACCATTTACATAATCATCCAGATACTTATCCCTAAGGACAATCAGAAGATACATCTTCTTGGGTTCACTAAGCATTACTAACAACAAAGCATAGCATATCTACATAACCGATCACCACTGCTTACATAGCTGTTCTCCACAAAATAAGGCCACATTTCCCCACAAAAGCCATCAACTTCAGCAAGTTGAGGTAGGAAATCATTTCAGCCTACATGATCGACATTCTATATGTACATTAGTCACACCACACACTTGATTCTGGAATATCAAACATAATGAAACATGCCTACAACCATCTGCACAGGAGATAACAAACAAAATAACTGAGTCAGAATATAAAACTTGATTATGACATACAATTTCGAGTGACACAAATATTTTTTGAACACCTACCTCTGACCTAACAAAGCCCCACTGGATCGATAACATGCCATTTTAAGCGTCATAGAGGCGACGCTTCACAGGGGTACGCTTGCTAGCCCTAACAGCTGTGGTTGAATCACCAATAGTAAACGGACCAGAACCTTGAGCATCATCATTGTCTTTCTTGGGTGTTGCAACTTCTAGTTTTTCCAATTTCACTCTCGCCAAAGGAGAGGCCAAGCTAAAATGAAAACATAGACCAATCAGTAACACATACATAAAATAGA